ATTCACCATACCTCGACGAAACCCAAGTTTTCCACTTTATCGCTCCTCATCATGAAGAAGTTTGGCTTCGGCAAGAAAGGCGGCGACGAAGGCGACGATGCCAATCGCTCCGCCCTCTTCGGGCGAAAGAGCAAGTCTCCTGCTCCGGGCAACGACAATCCTTACGCACAAGCTCCAGCTGGCGGCGATCCCTACGCTCAGGACGCGAATAAGTACGCCGGCATGACGCCCTATCAACGAGCACGAGCCGGTGTGCCCATCAATGGCGGTGCCCCCGGCGGCCTTCCTGGCGGCCCGAGGGCCGGTGCTGGCTACGGTGCCCCGCCACAGCCTGCCGGTGGGTACGGGAATGAAAAGTACGGGGCCGCAGGAGGATACGGGGCGAATCGCTACGACAACAACCAGAACGCCTACGGCGCGAATCAGCGATCAGGTGCCAATGGCGGGGCTCGCGGACCCGGAGGCTACGGCGGTTTGGGCCGGACCAACAGTGACAGCACCGATGCTGTGCGCGACGAGCTCTTCAGCGGAGCTCAAGACAGATACCAGCAGAACAAGCCGCAGGCTGGAGGCTACGGCCAATCGACGACTCCGTCTGGCGCTGATGGGGGATACGGCGGATACGGAGCTCCCCGTGAGCTCACAGCCGAAGAGCAAGAGGAGGAGGAATACCGAGCTACCAAGTCACAAATCAAGGATATCAGAAATGAGTCTCTTCAGGCCACCCAAAGAATGCGTCAAAATGCGAGCAACATGGAGGACGTAGCCAATGCAACACTCGCCCGGCTTGCTGCTCAAGGCGAGCGTCTGCACAACACAGAAAGGAACATGGACATAGCGGCAAACCACAATAAGAAGGCGGAGGAGGGTGCCAAGGAGCTGAAGACTGCCAACGGAAGCATGTTCGCAGTCCACATGGCCAACCCATTCACATCGAAGAAGCGTGCGGCAGAACGCGATGCGGCAATTCTCGACCGACACCGCCAGGAGCGCGAAGTTCGTGAGACAACCAGACACGAGGCTTTCAAGTCCAATCAGCGAATGGAAGATACCTTCAGGGAGATGTCGCTGTCTGGTCGTCCTCAAAGGGAGTCAGAGGGACAAACCAAGAAGAATTTCACTCTCGATAGTGAAGACGAGGAAGAAGACGAGAAAGAGAGGGCGATTGATAACAATATCACCGCTATGGCCGGTTCGCTTGCGCGTCTTAACCTGGGAGCCCACGCTATAGGGAATGAGGTCGATGCACAGAATGTTCTCATCAACAATATTGCCAAAAAGGTAAGTCTTATCACTAAACTTTATTCATGTTTTGTGTTGATGCTAAAATCCTATTCATCAGAGCGATGCCGTCGACGACGGAGTCAGAATGAACAGAGAGCGTCTGAACCGCATCAGGTAGATGGTCGGGAGCCGATTCCACCAAATATCCATTCGTGAAAATGTCCACAAAGAACATGAAAGAAGAGCTTGGTCGGTAATCAAATGTTCTCCAGCTTGTAAACTTCATAGGCCGGGGTTTCGTAAGGGTGTACGCTACAGAGAGCATATTGTCAATCGAAAGCAAGAAGAACTTTGAAGTTTAAACTTGATACCTTTTGAGAGCTGCCACAGCGGCTCTGGCAACATTTCTGTCAGAGCATAGGATTTCCACTCGGTATTCCAAGACTCGCTCAAGTTGGTCCACTGCGCCTGTGTGAGGGTCTGCCCCAGCTGCCGCTACGGGCCTGAATTGGCCTTGGCCGGTAAGTTCGAAGGCCACTTGAACATACTTGCCCTGGTCATAGACACCGGCACCCGTTTCGAAGATGGCGTCTTTGGTAGCGACCAAGTGGGAAGCTGTTGGAATCCCAGAGGAAGTTAGCATGCTTTGGTTTCTGTTCGATAATATCAAGCAGACCGAACCTGGCACGGTGTAAATAAGCTTGTAGCGGTCCGTCATTGTTTGACTGAAGATCGTGTGTCGACGAGAGAATGTCGTCAGGCTAGCCTCACTATATGAGAAGGCACGAGCAAGCAAGCGACTTGTATCGGTACGGCTGAGGGGAAACGCTTGAGAGCGAACAAAGTGACGCAATCTGCAATTGGAACACAGTATTTTCGATGTTGGGCGTCTGACCAGCATGGTGTATACGGGCAAAGTCAGTTACAGTCTGAAAAAGTGACGGGAGTATTTATTTCGCCAATTGAGAATCAACTACAGGCTACCATCGCTTATGTGTTTAACAGATTTCTGCCAATTTTCTCATTTCAACTATGCTATTCAAGAAGAGGCTCTGGAGGAGACGTTGCGGTCACGGTGATGAGGCGGTCAGGTACCTACCTATGTGCATATCCCAGGTGCCCTGTGCAAATATGGGGTAGATAAACTCGCCTGGTGCGAACCCAAACCCAGCGGTGTCCCCATAAATTTCTTCCTCTTTCCTCCCGTCAATTTCTCACTTATCCGCTGACTGCACATCACATCGCAAAATCTGTTAGCAACCTCAGCATGTCATCTGTACTGGACGCTGAACGCGCCCCCAAAAAGCGGAAGCTTGATGGCAAAAATACGATCAAGGTCGGCAACAAAGTCATTTCTCTCGAGGGATATCTCAACCCCCCAGCAAAGAAAAAAGAAACAGAAGTTCAGCAACGTCCAACGGAAGAGCTGCGGTCTATTCAGGAGACAGGAAATGATGCCACGTCGGACGCATTGGTCAAAGATCCAAAGGATTCGCACCAAACAGCTCCGACCTTCATCAAGCATTCATCGAAGACATCCCAGGATCGAGACAGGCCAAAATTTGACAAAAGAGGCCCAAGATGGAGAGAAGATCCTGCCTTGTTGAAGATCAGGCAAAAGTTACCCATCTGGGCACACCGAGAGGAGATACAAGCTCGCGTACGCCAAAATGATGTACTCCTTCTCGTTGGTGAAACTGGTTCCGGAAAAAGTACTCAAATACCTCAGTTCTTGGTCAGGGAGCCGTGGTGTAGGAGACAAATTGTCAGTATCGCAGGTGCAAGAGAAGTCAGTGTCGGTGGCATGATCGCAGTCACACAACCACGTCGAGTCGCCGCCACGACTTTAGCGCATCGAGTTTCTCGCGAGGCTGGGACGCCTCTCGGTGAGAGCCGTGATGGACTAGTTGGATACTCAGTTCGTTTTGATCATCAGGTCCCCAAGGGCACGAAGATCAAGTTCCTCACCGAAGGTATGCTTCTTCAGGAGCTTCTGAGAGATCCAGATTTGAAACAATACAGCGCCGTTATCGTTGACGAAATCCACGAGAGAAGTGTTGACGTGGATCTGGTGTCTGGATTCCTCAAGCAAATCCTGCTTAGTAGCAGGAAGGGCCGCGGCGGCATACCACTGAAGGTTGTTGTCATGAGTGCCACAGCGGATGTTGAGCGCATTCAAAGTTTCTTCTCTGCGAACGGTCCCGAAGGAAAAGGCGGCGGTGACGACTTGGTCGACAACAATACCAACTCTGTTGGAGTACTGAAGATCCAGGGTCGACAGTACCCGGTCAAGACGACACACACTCCCCAGCCAGTGCCGGATATTCAGGAATCTCTCTTGAAGACGATTTTCAAAATCCATATGGAAGAGCCGCTACCTGGCGATATTCTTGCTTTTCTGACCGGACAGGAGGAAATCGAATCCGCTCAGTCACTGCTCGAGGAATACGCCGCAACGCTGGCCTCCAATGTTCCCAAAATCAGTGTTCTACCCTTGTATGGTCAGCTTTCAATGGAAGGACAACATGCAGCTTTCCAGCCTGTTAAGGGAGGTTTCACGAGGAAAATCGTGCTGGCTACGAATATTGCTGAGACGTCCGTGACTGTACCTGGTGTACGTTACGTGGTGGACGGCGGCAAGGCCAAGGTCAAGCAATTCCGCGCTCGCCTCGGCATGGAATCATTACTAGCAAAACCTATCTCCAGATCTTCCGCCATCCAGCGAACAGGCCGTGCTGGTCGTGAAGGCCCTGGCAAGTGCTTCAGGCTATACACTGAAGGCACATTCAGCACACTCGAGGAAACAGACTTGCCAGAGATCCTGAGGATCGATGTTCTGGGAGCTGTCTTGACGATGAAAGCACGAGGCATTGATGACATTCTCGGGTTTCCCCTTATGGACACCCCGGATGTGGAAGCCATCGAACGAGCACTAGTCAGCCTTCATGGACTAGGTGCTTTGGCAGACGACGGCACGATCACCGAGGCTGGCCGCAAGATGGCCGGATTTCCCATCTCTGCGGCGTTTGGTGCAGTCCTGCTTGCCTCCGCCAAGCCAGAATTCGACTGCGTCCTAGAGACGATAGACGTCATCTCCTGCATCACGTCTGGCGACGACATCTTCCATCAGCTACAGTCGGAAGAACAACGCGAAGAAATTGAAGAACTCCGCAAGGAGCTCTACCGCCGGGAAGGCGACATCCTAACATATCTTACTACAATGCAACAATACGCCGCCGAGAACGCCGATCGCATACAGTGGTGCAAGCATAGAAAGGTCAACATTCGCAACATGAAGACAGCGCTCAACATTCGCAGGCAACTACGTAGCCTCTGCCTCAAAGAAGGTCTTCTGCCAGAGGCTCCACCGCCAGACCCCCAACCCTTTACTCCTCTAGCTCCGGAACAGGCCGAGGCTCTGCTCAAGTGCTTCCTCCGCGGCTTCGTGTCCAAGACGGCCATACTGGCACCGGATGCAAGCTACGTCACTTCACAAGGCAAGCACGTTGTTGCCATTCACCCGTCTAGTGTGTTACACGGGCAGAAGAAGGAGGCCATCATGTTCCTTGAGCATGTCTTCACGCAGAAAAACTATGCTAAGAAAGTAAGCATCATCCAGGCTGACTGGATTGTCGAGGCGCTTGAGGGTCACTAAGAGATGACTACGACACTGCGCAAAATGTACAAATTTACATAGATGTTAATACAAACGCGCATAAGTCGCGCATCTCGCATCTTTGACAATGACTGTGCTTTCCTTCATTAACGCAGCGATGTCATGATCGATCCTCGTCTTCCCCTGACTCACGCCGTTCTTTGATCGCCTGCATCAGCTCGTAAAGTTGACCGATTTGTTCGTCTAACAGGTAAATGAGTCGTCAGCCATTGTGAAGTCTCGGAAGAAATCATTGAAGAGACAACTCACCACTCATCTTAGCAACCTTGACGGGGTCAATCTTCTCGCCAACCCACGAGTTGCCCTCGATCTTTTGCGCGTATAATTGCCACTCAGTCAAGAAACCGATCTAGCACATTGCGGGAAAATTATGAGTCAGTTCCCTCGTGTAAAGAATGATTCCCACGTTCATGCCATCACCGAAGCAGAGAACGTACCAGATGCGCCGGGTTATCTACTGTGCGATGAGCACGGAATTCGGCCTTGATGTACTCGTCACCCAGGAGGCGCATCTCGGAAGGAAGATGCTTGCGGTGAGCGCGCAGAAGACGACGGTATAGCGGTATAGGAGGCAGAAGGGCCATCGGCGCGGGCCTGAGACCGTTAGCCTTCGAGACGGAGGCTGAGGCCATTCTCAAAACTGATGCAGACCGCATTGGTGACGAGTTGGCGGTGATGAAGTTTATTAGGTCGGGAGGCGGCGACAACGTCACTGGAGAGTGAGTCGTGGATCGATGTGACTTATGACACCGGAAGTCAATACTTCTCTTGTGCTTTCAATTTAATGGATGACGACCACCTTGTTGCGGATTGTTCAAGATACTAGCAAATGATGTTTGGGCATTTCGTCATGCAAATCACCATTTTCTGATAGGAGGTCAACGAGGTGACCCATACAGTGCCCGGTGACGAGAATTGCACACAGTATCTACTTCATTCATGGGTAAGTATTAAGAGGTAGGTGCTCTGTGCAAGAACTGAGAAGTCATACTACACAAAATTGTCACCCACAAGTCGTCTTGACTTCAAAAGTTCAGTTGAAAGAACCGTCGTTACATTTTACGGTTCACTCTTGCGCGCTTTCTATTCCATTTCGCGTATTGCGTCCCCCTCTAGTTCGTCGGGCACGAGGGGCTCGAGAACCACTGACGATGACATCCAAGTCAGCAAACGGTGATCCCGGTTGGGCACCTCCTTGGGTACAAAATGGCATCCTCCAGAAAACATGTATCCGCCGGCTTGGAAATCCTCTTGCACGAGGCCTGTACCCCCATTCCTTATTTTCTCCATCGCCCACCTTGTTCTCTGCTTGAGAGGATGCTGCCGATGTAGAATATCCTCCCAACCATGGAGGCATTCCTCCCAAAGCCGGATAGCCTCCTCTGTCTTGTGACACCGGGCCAACACACCCGCCAGCTGGTCCATCGTTGCCAGTGTATCAAGATGTGTCCTCCAAAGAATCGTTTCGCTTGTCTCGAGAACCTCGCGCAAGATTTTCTCTGCTTCTTCAAATCGGTTCAGGTTCGCGCAACTAGTTGCGACATTTCGCTTCGATGGCAGGATCCTCGAGTTGTTTTCCAACCCCTCTTCAACGGCGAGGACTTTGCGCCACATCCAATCCGCTTCATGGTATTGCCCCAGGTCTGAACACGATGCTGCGACGCTGTTCAATGCGCTCAGTGTTGTAAGGGAAAAGACTTTTTTCTCCACACACCGCCGGAGGAAATGCATGTCAATACTGTAAGCCATCTCAGCATTGCCCTCCATCCGAAAGACGGTTGCCAGTGTTCTCACAGTTTTGCGCCACCAGCTTCTATCTCGCCCGGCTTTCTCCTCAACTTCCATCCCTAAGTCTAGAAGTATAACTAGCAAGTCTTTGGCTTCCTTGTACCTTGCTTGGATAATGTGTATTTGTATGAGGTCGATAACGATGTGAGGGTAGTAGCGCGCGATGTCGACGTCAATGGGTTCCTCATTCAAGCGTTCCTCACTCAACCTGTGAATATGTCGAAAAAGAGCCTGAGCCTCTCTTAATCTGCTGGAATTCCGGTAGGTCTTGGCCAGATCCCAAGAGACTCCTAATGTTGCAATGTCTGCAGGCCCGAATATCTCTTGGCTAGCAGGAAGGATCTGCTCCAAGACCTTGGTGGCTTTGTTCCAGAGTCCCAAATCCATAAGCACACTTGCGTATATACCTTCCCTATGAGTCTCCCTCGTCAACCTCATGAACTCCAGGCTTCCGTGCTTAAAACAAGCCTGCATATGCGGCAGCACCTGAGGGCGAAAGAGCTCCGAACTGAGGCCATTATTTCTCTCAATCGTAAGATAGAGTATCTCGCCAGCGGCTTTGCGTTGCGAGGTCAGAGTTTCGGGCTTCATTCGGTCTCTGGCCCAAGAGTGCACTAAAATATGCATAGAATACCACCAATCGACCAAGGTAGACCTCTTGATCAAAGAATAGCTTCTGAGCGTCGCGATTCCATCGTCGAAGTTGGTTCGATCCCAATCGCCTTCTCTAGTAATGTCGAGCAACGAAAGTGGCCCAATGCCAGCGCTACCCTCTTCGCCGTGCAATAGTCCTAGATCCCTTCTTTTACTGACTGCTGCCCTACTGAGAATCTCACTTGTGATCTTCTCATTATGGTAGAAGCAGAATATATTGAGAATACGAAGGGCGTTCAAGGCAGCCCGGCCTGGGTAGCCTTTCTCTTGTGACCGCTTTTCCAATGCCACATACGAGAGCTCAAATGTACCATATACAGCAGGGTTATGCTCAAAGACTCCCGGGTACATGGGGTCTTCTAGCATGTCTTTTCGGCGTTCCTGGAAGTTGCCGAGGTAGTTTTTGAATGAGCAGTCCTGGTTGTGAATGTAGGAACCGGCCTGGTCGATGGCCAACGGGAGGTATCCAAGCTCGCGAACGATTTCTCTTCCGTGTCTGTCTTCATCATCTCCGAAATTTGTCTTTTGCCTTTTCGAGGCGCGAAGGAATAGGATGACTGCATCCTCTGCGTCCATGATGTCTACCGGGATTGTTTGGTCGGCGTCAAGGGTGGGTGACATATCTTTCCTTCTGCTGGTGAAGATAATGTTTCCAGTATTCCCTGGAGGAAGACGTTTGCTCACATCGATTGTGTCATTATTGTCGAAGACAAGAAGCCACTCTTCAGCGTGACTCTGCGCCAGCCAATTGCGTACTCTCCCAAAGTCAGGTCTGCTGGGCTCTCCACCGAAAATCTCAGCTGTTAGCAATCTGAAGCTTTCGTAGATCGAAGCTGTGGTGGCGGCGTTGATCCAAAATATCCGATCGAATCTAAGATATGCGAAATTAGTGAGGAAATCGTGGGTTGAGATGAACGTCATGCCACCTACCTCGACCCGTACAAGTCTCTAAATCTGAGGACAATCTGCGTCTTCCCAACTCCTCCCATGCCCCAAATTCTGAGGTGTCTTCTAGGTGAAGATCCGGAGGGGCGTTCGCAAAAGTATTGTCCCATCTTGTTGAGTATGTCTAATCTACCAGTGAATTGAGGGCTTGCAATGCTGTTGATCTGAACCTCTTGCTCAACGGCTTGCCTCGAGGCTTCTTCGGATACTGCGTGGCCTACTGCGAGTCAGTTACTGAGCGGAGGAACTTAGAGAGGATACTTACATGCGGCATCAAGAGACAGGTTGACGCCCTCCTTTGCATACAACATGCTGGCGATTTTGTCGAGATGGTCAGAGACTTCAGAGCCTTGGATGTACCTCTCCGTTGCCGCCCGCAACAACCCCATTTTCTTATATTCATTCAGCTTGATATCTGCAGCACCCCGGTCCAAATTCAACCGCCAATATGCGTAGTGTGTTTTCTGGAACCGTTGCTCTAGGGCTTGGTGCTCAGGCTCGGAATCAGTCAGCGATGCTTTGGCATGCTTGAGAATCTTTATCGTGCCTCTTGAGAAGAGTGCGCCGCTGCCTTGTCTGGCCACGACTGGACGATCTACAAGCTGTCCTTGAGGAACCACATTGACTTTTTTATCGGAGACTTTCAGTCCGGTGCCCAAGCTGAGAAGAAAGCCCAACGTCCTCCTCGGACCGAAGTAGGACTCGGCCTCACTCAACACAAGGCGAGCCGGGTTGTTGCAGGTCACGGCACCGTCGACGTACTGGTCCCTCTCCGCCTCGACTTCGATGGAGATTGGGTGGAAAAATGTCGGTGCCGCTGATGTTGCCCTTGCCGCCTCCCAAATTTCCACATTGTGAGCGCAGTTGCTGCTCCCTTTGTACGTTCGGAAGAGGTAGGCTTCGTAGGCGTCATATGTGGCTGCGCAGACAAAAGCGAGCCCCCTTTCCCTCGTGTCGTCGAGCATCGTGGTCTTTGCGAGCTTCTTCTTGGTTACATTGTCTTGTATGATCTTGACGAGTGTTTCCTCTTTATAAGTTCTGTTCCACCACCGCCTGCGGTTCTTCTTTCGAAAAACGTCCTTTGCAAAACTTTCGTATGCGTTGATGGCTTCCTCAGTCGACATACCCATGCGACCTAACATGATGGCAATTAGTCTTTCCAACGATCTGCTGTTAGCGGAACTTTGCAACACGGTGTATTGGAAAGACCAACTAACCCCCCAGTACTTGTGCCACCCATCAAATGGAAATAGTCCTGAGGCTTGGGTAATTCTCTGAGTCCTGCCACCTTCTGTAGCCGCTTCATAATCTCGTGTAGTATGACGAGTTCTGATATCCCTCTGATGCCTCCACCGTCTGCCTCGTGTTAGATTAGGCCTCCCAAATGGCCAAGGAGCAACATACCCAACGACAAAAGATAGATTGGCTCATCTTGGCTCATCTTGCGACGATCTAGAACAAAAACCCAAGCAGTGTACGATCAAGAGTGAAACAACGAAGTCCATATAAGAAATAGTGAATAGGTTCATAAGGATAGCGATTCCCGGCTTTCGAGCCAGGCAAATGCAAAACTTGCGCATTCAACAGGGAACCAAGGTGAGGGACAGTGGCACTTCTTCAATGAATCCGCTCAACCAACATCTGGGCAGTGCAGATACTTGCCCGAAGATCAAGCCCACGAGAGGGGCCTTCTTTGGAATCCGCCCCGATGCATTATGCATGCTAAGCGCCTAGCACCCGCCAGGATATGGAGCAGACACGGCCGCATACACACCAATAGGCCTGCGAACTCTCATCCTGGCTGCCAACACCGACTTTCCGACATGCATATTTCATCGGCTGACCACTACTGCAGTTAACTTGTCTAGGTAAGGTTGTAACCAGACGCAGCAAACCTGAGAACCTGTGGCAACCCGATGTAGTGGTCAAATGTGCGCCTCAGTTGGCAGGCTTAATAGCGACTGTCACGTTCGCGCAGCAATTGTCAGTCTGCCCTCCTGCAGACCCTGGTTGAAACGGAGGGGCGCAGCATGTTCCCAACATACGTGACCGAAGGCAGAACAAGATGGACTACGAACAAGCAACTGTGGATGCTGCTTGACAATCTCATTGAGAAGGCATTCGTGAGAAGCGCCACAAAACCGAGAAATGGGGTGAAAGGTATATGATCAGACATCTGTAGGAGTCAGAAGACAAGAGGAAGATGAGACTCGGAATTGGTCGGTGCATGATTCTAAGCGCCGGCTTTATGGAGCGGGTCGGGCCACTGAACGGGGTGGCGCTATGATGATCGACTGAACCAACAAACTACGTGCCAACCAACCATTTCTCATGCAGGACCATCAACCCGGCTGAACTTTTACTTTTCAAGTAGTCAAAAAAGTCTAATGAAAGTACTGTACATGAGCTGGGAAGTTCGGAGTCTGTAGAGGGCTAAGCTGGTTGCTCTTCGGCTCACTGTTTCGTCCATCTTATCTCAATGACAACATCCATCATTGAGAGATTTTATCAGGAGCTTGAATCAACTGGCCAAGATCTTTGGGTGCCCTGTTTCTGTTCCAGAGGGACACTGGAGTTCAAAACGTCACTCATGCCACCATGTCTGGCGAAACCGATAATGCAAGCCGAGACTAGTCCCCGGTCTGAACCTATACTAGGCAACTCACAGGTCTGTACTAGATCATGTCCAGGGATCCCGACAGATGAGGATATCATCCAAGAATTTCCCTTCAGGAGGGGACAACGTTAGCGCACTTCGAAGAAACCGGTTGAAGAGCTGCATATATACGCCTTCAGAGTCTGAGATCCAATCTCCATCAACTTCCTTCGGTATAACACTGACATAATGGATAGATGTCTCTGTCGCAAAATAGACTATCGCCCTTTTGATGATACTCTTTCTCCAAAGTCGAAGACTCTACTCCCCAGCATCTCGGCCGCAAGGTTTCGAGATGACGGAGTTGTCAATAGTCTACATTAAACCATCAAATTCACTCGAAGCCATACTAGTTACTCGGCTCCAGTATAATGCCGTATCAGAGCGTAACTCGTTCAGCAATAGTTTTGAATCACCTGCCTTTATTCTACGTGCAGCATTCCGTTATCTCCAGCCAAACAAATCTTCAGTTGCAGGGCAAGCCACTGGAGGCTCATGGACTAGTATTACCGTCCATTCGATGGTACTCGTTCTTTGAGGCGGAGATCATGTTCCATTTCCATCAAGCCAAAGATAAACTGCTTCGTCTAAGCAATTCCAACCCAACCTTCAAGTTACATGTACTGGAACCAACAGGCATTCGTGTTGCCTATTTGGGCCGGTACAAGCCATATCTCACATTAAGACAACACCAGCGCAATCGAGACTTCCTCCCAACGACCCAAAACAGCGCCATTACCAATTATCCGGTCGAGCCCTCGCATCTCCCGCAGGAACTCCGCACGAACAGGCATTACACAGCTGGACCAGGGGAAAACTGGTCAGTTGGTTCACGGGGCCACCCAGCAACGTACCCAACACTCGGGTGCGCCGCGCCAAGTTGCCTGGACACAACCACTCCGTGGCTCAGCATCCGAGACATTGGGAGATTCCCGCAGACCGCGGCTCCTCCGACTTAAGGAGAAAAAAAAAATAGGGGTCTCACTTGACGACTCGAGGCCCAGGCAACAAGTTTGGGTCCACAGGGGAAAGCAATAGTGGTGTCATAAAGTTAACGTGTGATTCCTGTCTGTGCAGTGTGTCACACGCCATTCTGGTATTAGACTTGCTTGAATCGTCAAACACTCAAATCGGACTTCATCATCCGTCGTGCCTAGAACTAGACCCTTCCCAGAAATCAACGCCTGCAAACCACCCAGAAAGTGATGCCACTGAGTACAAGACCCAGCCGTCTATCCCTGTCTATGTACAAGGCAATGTTGGTCCCCGCGGCCCCCAACGCCATTATCATGAAGGCGGCGCTCCAGCCTTGAGCATCGCCATCTCTGGCGCCGTGAACCCGTTGCCCAAGTATGCGAATCGGTTCTGCTTCGAATTCTCATACGTGTACTCCCAGTCCTCGCCCCTAAATCGCTCCAGCAAGCGGATGAAGTGCATACGGCTCCCGGGATACAGACCTGTCACAGGGCCGTTGACCTCGCCTTGCTTATACCAAGATCTGCATCCGCCCGCAAAGACTGTGCGAGGCATGATGGCTGAGATGTGCTCAAAATAGTCCTCCACGGCCGCTTCAGACGGGGCGATAGTCCGCACGCCTTCTGTCTGGCATTTGAGGATAGTATTGGCGATGTAAGTGGCAATGTGCTCGCTTAGCGTAAAGACATCACCCTGCACAACAGGCGCATTGGGCCCCAGGAACTCTACAGCAAGCAGGATGGTTAGTTTCGAAGCGGTAAGCGCAAGGGAATCCCGACTTACTGAAGAAGTTTGGCAGACCAGCAACAGCAAGGGACATGTATGCTTTAGGAGTTTGCTCGGACCAGATGTCCTGCAAGTTGCCGTGTCGACCGACTAACGGGAACGAGGGGAGGAACGATGAGTCGAAGCCAGTGGCACAGACGACAACGTCGACTTCGAGGATCTCCCCAGTGGCCAGTTCTATGCCTTGCGGCACAAACCTCTTGATGGCGTCGGTGTGAAGGGAGACCCGGGGATCGTGGAACGATTCGAGATATCCAGGGGCGGGAGTGAGTCGCTTACACCCGAGGGGAAAGTCGGGTATCAGCTGCTTGCAGAGCTTCTCATTTCCCTTGAGCATCGCAGTCATGAATTCTTTAGTCTTTCCCAGCGCCCAAGCCTGTTGAGGGCTTCCCGCAATGAGAGAGATGGCGAACTTGATGTTGGAGTCCATCTCGAGAGTCTTAGTAAACTTGTTGTAGAAGGCCTGGTCATTTTTGAACTTTTCAATCGTCGCCGCTGAGAATCGCTCGTTCTCGTCCATCTCAATTTGGTCCAGGAGAGCTGCTGAAGGCCCCATCTTCATTGTGGCAACTCGAGGAGGGATAATCAAGGTGGGCGTCCGGATGACGTGATGTAGCTTCTTCACGTCTGCTTGCTGTGAGCTGGCTGCGTCGCCATGATAGGGATGGTATATACTCACGTGGTCTCATTGCTGGGACGATCTGGACGCCGGACGCACCATTCCCAATGACCGCTACCGTCTTGTTTGTATAGTCAAAGTTCTTAGGCCAGTTTGCGCTGTGAATTAGGGTACCCTCGAAAACCGCGATGTCTTCCACGTCCGGGAATCTCCATTTACTAGGCAAGTCAGACGTTAATATAATACACAACTCCAATGGAGATGTACGTACTTCAAGATACCAGTTGCGTCAATGAAAAAGTTGGCATAATCTTCAAAGACGGCGCCAGTCCCCAAGTTCTTGATCTGCAACTCCCACACGGCCTTGGACTCCGACCAAGCCGCGCCGATGATCTGGTGCGAAGTCTTGATAAAGGGCCGCAGCTTCTCGTCGTCACATATTTGGCAAAGGTAGTCCTCAATCTCTGCCGCGGGGGCAAAGAAGCTCGACCAGGCCGGATTCGGTCTCCAGCTGAACTGGTAGTTGTGGCTAGGCACGTCGCACTTGCACCCAGGGTACCGGTTCTCGAACCAGGTACCCCCGACATTCTCGTTCTTCTCATAGACCACAAGCTCGTACGTCGAGGGACCGAGGGTGTTTCTCAGGGTGCGTATCAGGTTGATGCCGCTTGCACCGGCGCCGATCCCGACAATGCGAATGGGTTGCGGAGTCCCGAACGGCGCTTCCTTCACAGTGTAGGCGGTATTGGTGCGAACAGGTTGACTGGATCCGCTACCCTGGGCGTCGACATGACGAGATAGTTGAGGGAGTTGCCGTGTCATTGTGAAAGTTGCTGGTTTGCGTGCCTGTGGAGCTACCTAGGCAGAGAATAGAGAGGAAGAAGAGACCGGTTTATATCTGAGTTGAAGTTGCCAAGGGGTGTTGAGTCCCGAGGAAGGCGCCAGCGAGTGGCTGTAAGGAATCTGTTTCCGAACAAGCGCCTTTCTCCTGCTCGCTTGGTGGAGATACGGTTTAAAGAGAGGATGCGGGCGGGTGACTGTGGACTTTTGGCAAGTGTAGCGCGCGGCGGCCTGTCACGGAGACTAGCCAATAATTGCAAAGGAGCCTTTACCATGGCAGAATGGGATGAGACAAACCGGAAAGCGCCAGAGAGGAAGAAGCAACGAGTGAATCCGCTGGAGCGGGATCCAAAAGACGTTGTCCTTGTCAGTGACAGGCAGCATAGTCCGAGGTGAAATCTACCATGCCTCCGCGACTAACACCAAAAACCGCACCACCTTAGTGTGGAAACTACGAGCTGACGCAGTACAGCTTTCTTGTCAAGAGGCATACCTACATAGACTTTGACGATGAAAAGGAGACAGCTCACATGAAACAAAACGGTGGACTCTACGGACAGAGAGGCGCCAATGGGCATGGGTCCTCTCAATTGGGGATTCTGTCGTAGGAGCCTAGGAGGGGTCTGCACCGGGCCTCATTGTTGGTTGATTTACGACGGGCAGTTTATCAATCTTGGCTGGTGCAACGGCACATGGTGTGGCTGCACGTATCCAAATGACTTTGGAACAAGGCTGGTCCATGGGCAGAAAGAATTGAACAAAATGGGTTGTCTGCACGTCTGCTAGCTCGTTGCGGTCAAGCAAGGTCCGATTAGCAAGAAAAGGGTCCTGGGCTGGACCAGGTCGTAAACCATCCAACCACGGCGAGAGGAGGGAAGAACCGGGCTGAGGGGTGTTCATGGCATGGATCTAAGTACGGTGAGTGGCGAATCACGACTCTTGCCGCACTGGAGGATGGAAGCTTGGAGCCGGAGCGGGATCGTGGTGAGTGCCGCGGACGGGGGGCGATATGGAGCGCAAACCGGGGCGTATCTACGGATGGAGAAGATGCCATTGTAGGGGCCTGACCCCGGCCGTTTCCTGGAGGCAAAAGACAATGCGGTCCTGAGGTTGAGGATGCTTTGGCTGCCGACCGTTCGATCAGCTTCATTATTTCCTTGACGACATCTCAGCTGACGAAGAACCGAAGAAAGGGGATGTGTGATGCCCTGATTAGAGTGGATCGCCGAGAGAGGGAATCGCGAGTGCCGGGTCCATTGTCGATCGGCCGTGAGCATGTTCGGCGCCGCATGGTAGAGATGGTGGGATGACGGGAGGGGGCGGCATCCTCGCGCGTTTGCTGACCACTGAGACACGAGATCTCATTTGAAGGAGCACAAAGCTCGAGATGCACCAGATCCTCCGGGCCTTTAGGATGCAGAGATGCGTGTCTGTCTGGCAGGCATCTGCAGCTGAGCCCATGAACCACTGCGGCCACGGCTTGCAGGTTCGTCATGTGCCATGAACGGCCGCTGGCTCTTCAGCTTGCGCCCCTTTTTTTCAATCTACCTTACGTGAAGAGCAAGCGCAGATGGTAGACCAGAGCATGCGCGAGAGATGCGGTCAGAGACGTGGGAGGAATAGGCTCAGCTGCGGATCATTTTCCCGAACGCCACTCAGCCTATTAAAGTTGCAGCTTTCCACACTCGCCCTCGCCCTCGCCTTCGCAGAAACCAGCAGGGCATGGGTGTTGGGCTGGTAAGCACGAGATCCGAAGGCCGAAGGGGAGGCTCCGTGGCTCTGTACAGGTACATAGATATGAGACAATCGCCCAGTTGTGATGTCTCCTCCCTAGTCGCCGCACTGCATGAGCCTCTCTGAGAAGTTGCTGGTTATTGGTCTCTTTGCGACCAAGCAAGTGCCCAAACATGCGGCGGGCGGCGTTGGTGCAGAATTAGAAGAGTCTTCGAATGATAAAGCGCCGATAGGGAAGAACTTCTGGCAAACAAAAAGCAAGCATCCCCAGTCTCGGCCACCGATGACGATTGGCTTGGTGGTCGACTCGGCCAATTAGTAGCTGGCAACTCTCTGGGTGCCTTGGATATGCGAGCAACAGGAAGACGTTTTGCTAAGGCCGAGATTTGCTGGTGGCGACGGCTTGAACCCAACCTTGGGCGTTGTGAGTCCAATCTAAGCAGTTGACTTCCTGACTATACCAACTCATGCTACTGACAGGCACCAGCATCGCAAACTTGATTCAAGCTTAATCGACTCACTGCCTCAGAAGACTTCTCACACCTGCAAGCCACCAAGTCATTCGAGTGGCGTAAGAGCTCTGTTGTCGTTGGTTTTCCGATTCGACAAACACACCCGATAAGGTAGCTTGCCTCGGTGAGGTTCCAATAAGAGACTGCGTTTCGTTTTGTGTTTGTGTGTGTGACTCTGTGAGTGAACCCGCGCCCCCACATTTTCATAGTCTCTTTCGTGTGTACTCAACTCACTCATCTTTTGCAGAAAGGTACGTACAAAAACCCTGCAAATCCACGCGGCATCTCCCACCCTCGAAGAGAAATATGGCATCATTCTCCTTCGGATTCGGCGGCGATGACATAGAGGACGACTCCGTTCCCGTCCCGGCCGCCGAGGCCTCCGCGCCCGCCCCGGAGCCCGAGACCCCGCAGTCCGCTGCAACAGCCAGCGCCTTTCCGGTGCCCGGCAAACCCCAGCTGCCGCCCACCGCCCACGACCTGCAGGACATGCTCTCCAGGCTGCCCTCAAAGGTCGCCTTCGGGACCCTGGACGTCACCCTGGACGACGGTAGCCTCATCAAGATCCCTCGTCGCGAGCTCTGGGACGTGCGAGTGCAGCTCATGGCCGAGGATGAGGCCGCCGGTGACGGTGCCGATGCCGAAGGCCTCGGCAGCCACGATGTCAAGACGGGCGTCTACGAGGGCGGTTTCAAGAGCTGGGAGAGCAGCGTGGACCTCGTCAAGGTTCTCGCCAGTGGCCAATACTTGGACCTGCTCAAGCAACGGCCTCTCCGAGTGATCGAGGTACGAGCATCTGAACACCTGACGCGCGTTTTTATTCTTATTTTTGTTTTTCATACCCTGCTGGCTCAAGTGGCGAACCGAAAGCTAACCGACCTATGCGCAGCTTGGATGCGGCACAGGGCTTCCATCGCTCGCTCTTTTGCAATGGACCATGAGGAATCCAGCGCCGAGATCGCCACTTTTGCTGACCCTGGCCGACTACAACCCGACAGTCTTGCAACTGGTCACATTGCCCAACTTTATCCTCGCCTGGGCTCTGGAACGCAGGGACCAGAACCCCGCCCTGGAGGAGGCCTTCGCGATGGGAGACGAGCTCGAACTCACACCAGAGGTCTTGCAGCAATTCAAGGAGTTCCTGACGTCTTCCCAAATCTCTCTCAATTTCATTTCTGGTGGCTGGTCAGTGGAGCTTGTTGATCTTCTCTATGAGACTCAGTCCAAGCTGGACGGGTCCAGCAGTTTCGATACCCTTCTTATTGGAGCGGAAACCATCTACTCGCCCTTCGCACTCGACGCTTTCAACGAGATGGTCCTTGCCATCCTCAACAGAGAACAGAGCCAACGTAGCAACTGCCAGTCGCAGGCGCTGGTTGGGGCGAAGCGGCTTTACTTTGGCGTTGGAGGTTCACTCGATGATTTTGTGGATAAGGCTAGGGGAAGAGGAGCAACGGTAACTCAAGTCAGGGAGGAGGCTGAGGGTGTTCGGCGAGGTGTCGTTCGATGCACTCTGGGCTCGCCTCGTGAATAGACATCATGCCAGTCAAAGCTACATACCACATGGAGAGGAGGCCTCTCTTGTGAGTTTGCCACCGCCACGGCCATTCATGCCATTCATCCCGGTCTACGGTGTCGACTGATAGACCGGCGCAACAGCATATATGCATACATCTCGGTCAATGGCCATGAGTTCGCGAGTGTTGTCTTCTGCTAAGGCAAAGGAGGCTTTGCGGTGATGTAAGATAACAACCTATCACATGGATGTGGGTTTGTGAGCCTTTTGGAACACAAGACACTATGACGATCCAGCTCGCGGCATGGTTTTCAACATTCAAGGGCCTGTGAATTCTCATGGAAGACTGTTCCTTCGGTCAAGTTACGAGACTGACGGCTTGGTGAGCGTTTTCAGCGAACGAGACGTATCGCGTCTATTGATTGACGCACGCGGCTGTGGCGCTGCAGAACATCCATCGCCCCAGTCTGAATTTGATGTTTTGACCGAGCTATGAGCTGAAACGGCATGATTGTATTGAACTGAAGTGATGGCTGCTAGGCCGGCATTCCTACCATCGCCGTCAGAGAGTTATACTTACGTCATCTGAGTCAAGCCGAGGAAAACTCCGTGGTTCTGGTGCCCTTCCATTCCAGTCGAGTATCAGAGTGAAACGCCCCCTGAGCGAGCAGGCTTGTTCCATTTCAGCCAAGAACCAAGCATGGCATGGCCATGAAGTGTCATCGCACGGCTGGTTGAGGATTGAGATACCTACCTACTGCGAGATCCAAGTACGGAGTAAGTGGCTTGGGTGGATAATATGCAAAGCATGGAGAGAGCCAAGCCTATCACGGAGAGAGCGAGGGTGCGACCCCTGCATGTATTCCTAACGGAGGTTAAGAGGCTGCCGGATCCAGCGAGCTGCCGTATCCGATGGTTTGGGCCGATGGCTCTGTGGGAGCTGCATTTCGTGATAAATAGACAACTTGGAATTGGCAAACCTGCTGACGGGTTCGGACGACATAGCCAGAACCAGGCGATGCCCTGTCGATGCTGCAGGCTTCCCGTCGTCGGGCGTGGAGCCTCTCTGAAGGGCGCATACGCATGGACAGGGTTCCAGTGAGAGTCCTCAGCCAGGGCCGTCAGGCGAGAGCTGTTAGTGTCCGAGTCCGTCGATTGGAGGCCAGAAGCAAGGACCATTGCGCAGAATGCAGGTACCGTGCAAGCCGTGAAGTAGCGTGCGCTGGGGAGATTTGGCCAATGTCGGTCTCCACAACGGGACCCAACGGGGTGTGCATTGGAAATTGGACTCGGTGGGAACTGGGAACTGGAAAACGCCATTGGCATAGGCGAGCGGCGAGCCTGACGTCGTTGCATCTTATTCATCGTTCTGGAGGAGGCTCCCCGGTCACCCGAAAGAGAGCGAGATTGCCGCTTTGGCGCGATGGTTTGATGGGATGCAGCGACTCAGCGAGGCGCGTCGACAAATGGGACGGTAATATACGCAATATGTGCATGCTCCTGGCTCCTCCGCGAGACTTTGCACTTTGGACCGATGGGGCGGGATGGCAACTTGCGGCACGGATCAAGCGGGTGAAGGCGCGAGTGAAATCTTTTCCCCAGAGGCCCTCGGTAGATCCTCATCAGGCGATCCGTAGCCTGCCATGACTTCTTCTACACAGTAGGCTGTCCTGGTCGGTATTAGAGGACTGTCCCATTCCAGATTGATGTGCGTCTGACTGTCCTTGCGAAACGGGACGGACACCAGTATTGCTTGATTTTCAGAGTAGTGTCTTGGTGAACCAAAGGAAAAGGAACTTGACACGCTTGAGTATGTCAACAGCAGCTCATCTGCTGTCTCGCGCGTCAGTCATGTCGGTGCTCCCACCCGAACACAACAAGGCGTGGAACGGAACGTACAGGCATGTTACTCTGCAGATGAAGCACAGATCTCGGACGATTGACGACGTCAGTGTCCCAACACATCAAGGCTAGGTGTGTAAGTGCCGATGCTATTTTCGAGTCTTCCAAATGCACAAGCGCAGAGCATTCTGCATAGGTTTTCTCGACGGATATACCACTCGTAAAAGCCACCTTCACGAGCATCAAGCATCCATAGGCGTCGTCACCTCCAATAGTGTGGTGGGGGAGCCTTGAGCTGTCATTGCCTACTCGGATCGATGATGGGATTGCAGGCGGCTCGTGACTGGTCCGCGGAAAGTAAAGTTTTGCCGTGGAGAAATGGAACACGAGCTGGAAGGGAGGGTGGAGGGATGGATGCTGTTGGTTGCGCACGCAATTGCAGGCTGAGCCGGGCGTCAGCGGCAGCAGCAGCAGCAGCAGCAGCAGAAGCATTCGCACATTCCCATGGGGGGCGAAAAGGGCCCTCGCCATGGTTGTCCGCTGCGAATCACTCCAATGCGAAGAAGGGGCTTCGGAGGAGGGCGGCCGTTGGAAATGTGCGAGATGGAGACGTCTACTGCGTACCACTCTCCCTTGCTGCGCCTCCAGAGACCCAGATCGACAGGAACCTTTCCCCATTACCGGACCAGAACGAATGTACCCACCGCTTGTCGGAACGTACAATGAAGGGTAGTGTGACCTGTACTGCGTATGTACCCATCCGATGGTGAGAGAGTCAGTGACCGGCCGAGGGGTTTTTGGGGTCTCTTCGCGCCTTGGGCCGTTCAAGCGGGCTCCAACGTGGTGTCACCTGCTGTGGGCTGGAAAGCAGGGAAGCGAGATGGCATGGCATGTGGAAGATTGTGCCATTGCTGGGCGCATTGTTCAAATTGACGCCAGTTACTGCCCTGGGTCCCAGGACGGAGTCCCAGACTCCCAGGCGAGAACCGTTGAGGCCCAGACCTCTTCCAACTTCCCTGCTGTTGCCCGAGATGGTCGTGATCCTTCCATTGCCCCAGCCAAAAGGGCCCAATAAGGAGCCTTGGGCGACTCCGGGGACATAAGCTAGGAGTACCAGGGGAGTTGACGGCTGCATCGGGGGTCTGCCCAGTGGTTGCACGTAGTTGAGAAATCGTACATCGCCTTGGAGTACGGAGTAAGCTTGGAGGAAATCTACTTTAGGTACCGTGTAAGAATACCATACGGTCGTCTTAGAGTTGCTATCTAGGTACCTGACCTGCCTTAGGTCGAATATAAAGTACCGGACGACGGCGTGCGGATGTATGGTGAATCGAGCAAAGGTAAAACTTGCAGCTAACCTGGAACACCAACACTAGTAAGCTGAAGCTGCTGCACGCAGTCGTGGCATTTTACGGCAGAAGAGGAGGCCACTGGGAGAAGCAGAAAGAAGTCAGGCCGGACATCAGCCAGTACCAAAACAACCAAAGGACAAGAAACTGAAGCTTGGTCTTTGTTAGCGCTTCTCCTGGGGTTCGCCAGGTTCCTCTATGTGACAGGGGTACCCTCCAAGAATTTTTCACGTTAGTCCAATCTGGGAGTTAGTGCCACTCCTGTTGCCAGGGCTGCTGGAAGAGGTGGGAAGGTACCCGCCCCCCGCTCGTCGTCGTCGCTTCCTTTTCTCATTTGCGACGAATAGCCTGCGACTTCCTCAGCTGCTAAGGTACCATACCACCCTTAAAACGCTTACCACACCAATGTGAGGACCAAGGTAAGGTACCTACCTACCTGTGGTACTCTACCTTACAAGTAAGGTCAGGTACCTACTCTAAGGTAAGGTAGGTATGTAAGTCCGCGCACCCAGTGGGAGCCGTGATGCCGTCCGCGGCGCCCTCGAGAAGCCTCAAGGTGCGCGCGGTTGCTGTTCGTCCCCGGCTGTTGCTGCGTTGGGTGCTTGTTATGATGTCGCCATGAGGACCTACTTTGGTAGATAGCAAAGAGGAAGGCTCGATCGCGCGCCTGTCTGTTTCAACCTCGATACCTCCTGCCTCCTCTTAAGCTCAAGTGCGCCCATCTTTTCCCACCTGACTCTTCATCCATTCCATCACCATCTCAATCCAAACAAACTTGCCCGGTCCACACTACAAATAAGTTCCTCCAAGGCTCCAACACTCTGCGCACAAGAAGAAAACCAAGAATCACAACCACACCACTCCCAGAATTCAAATTGCTGAACTTCTGGTGCTACTTTGTCCCAAAAGCCACCCATCCATCCGCACACCCCCAGCAACAGTAACGCGTGCGAGTAATTATAGGAAAAGCCCCGTCTAGGTATTGATGTAAGTCGCATGCCTGCCTGCCTCTCCGCCGAACCCGCACACGCCCCCCCTTCCATGCTCTACCCCTGATTCGACTTCGCCTAATTTCGCGCCTGCGCGAGACGAGGAAGCCTTTTTCTACCCAGCTGTCCCCCCTCACATCGTTGCCTGCCTCTCTCCCTTTTGTTTCCTCACGAGCCTATTCCCGACATTCGTTGTTGACCTTTTTTGCTAAATTACAGTAGTCCGATACCTAATACTCCTACACTCGTTCATCACTTAATTTTCGAAAAACAACCCAATCCGTCACAATGAAGAGCTTCACCTCCGTCCTCGTCGCCGGCTTCGCTGCCATGGCCCAGGCTGTTCAGCTTACCAACACCAACTTCAACGTCCAGGCTGGTCAGGCTTTCGAGATCACCTGGTCTGATGCTTCTGGCCCCGTTACTCTCACCCTGAAGAACGGCCCCAGCACCGACCTCAAGACCGTCTCCACCATCGCCAGTAAGTACATCTCGAGCCCTGGTGAGATGCTATCTGATGCTGACTTCTATCTCAGCTGGCCAGAGTGGTACCTCCTTCTCCTGGACTCCTTCCTCCACTCTCCCCACCGACCAGTACGCCATTGAGATCTCTGACTCTACTGGCACCCCCAACTACTCTGAGCAGTTCACCCTGACCACTTCCGTCACTGCTTCCGCTTCTGTCTCCTCGGCTTCTGCCTCCGCCTCCGCCTCTGCTTCCGCCACCGTCACCACCACTGTCGCTGCTTCCACCATCACCTCCTCCGCCTCTGCTTCCTCCGCCTCCGCTGCGAGCAGCTCGGCCTCTTCTGCTGCTAACTCCACTGCTGCCTCCACTGTCTCTACCAGCACCCGCGCCAGCACCCGTACGTCGCCATCTACTTGAGGCATAAGAACCCTGACTAACCCGTTGAATAGGCACCAGCGCTTCCACCTCTTCCACCAGCTCTCCCACCACCGTTCCCGGCAGTGACGCTGTCCGCATGGGCTCTCCTATTGCCCTGATCGGCCTTACCGTCGCTGCCATGCTCTACTTCCAGTAAGCTGGTGGCTAGAGAGGATGTTCGGGCTGTCTCAGCCCAATGACTGGTATATGATGCGAACCAAGGTTTATAATACAGTAATGCGATCCAAGAACGAACAGGACCAGGAGTTGCATTTCAGATGAAGCAAGCGGGTCGAGTTGCAAAAAGCTCTCGAAGGACAGGGGATGATGAAGTAAACATTGTGTGTTAGTCGGGGCCTATCGGAAATCTTTGGGCCTATAAACAATCAATTAGCAACTCAATCCACTGTTGCCTTTCTACATTTTTATTTCTGCTCCCTATGATTGTAATCTATAGCGAGACCTGGGTCATCTCAACCCCGCGTCTGGACATTACCACTTCAGGCTGCATGCATCGCATGACCGTTTGTCCTCGGTGAGGTGACATTTCCGTCTGCACCTCAAAGTGGTGTCACTCGACCTGCGCCTATCCCACTCGGAAGCGGACGTGCTCTGCCTCTGGCATGAGGGGCATGTAACATTATGCATCCGTACTACGAGTTATCGTCACACTGTTAAAGACAAACAACAAAATATCGATCTGGGCCCGTCCACACCAAACTCGTCGTCTTTTCTACCCTTCATCCACAATGTAAGGTAAGGTAGTTTTTTTTTAAGCACCGTCCATTGGGTTTCCCCAGAGAATAAAGCTGTTTCATCCTGTATCTTCTTCGACCCAGATCAGTGGTTCATACAGCAGACCAACCCCACGTGGAGAAAAACAGGAGAAAGGGGTGCATACTCCAGAGCTGACGTGGAGTTCAAAGGAAAAAAGGGGCTCCGTCCATTGGAAGATACTCTAGAAAAGCAACAAGAAACCCGCCTAGGTAGAGCCACAGCTGCGATCGGCAAGTTCCCAGCGCCTCGCCCCGCTTCATAGCAAGGACAAAGGAGAAGGGAAAACAAGGGGGGAAAGGGAAGACGATTGGACTTCTCGTTCGACCGTTCCTGCCGATCGCATGAGCCAAACGTGTAGTTTAATCAGTGGAGAAGCATAAATCCAAGCAGAGAAACATGCAATTGAATGAGGCGAGTAGAGATTGGTTTTTAGGTAGAGTACGATGAAACGGTCAGACATCGATTTTGGGTGGTATTCTTTTATGCTGCTATAACTGACTGACTGACTGCTGACTTCTCGACGTCTCTTCATTGCGTGTATGTGAGAAAATAGGATATTGCTCAGGATCCTTTGTACAACATTGCTGCGTCACCGAATGAGAAATTGGCGACGGTCGAAGATTTACGATACAACGGACAAATGCAGCGGTGGCGCTCCTTTTTGGGGCTTCTAGGGGGGGGGGGGGGGGGGGGTTTTTAAACATTGGAAAAAAGAAGCAATGGGTTTAAGAACCCCAAAAAGGGGTTGGTAATTATAAAAAGGGGCTTAAAGGGCAACCTTGGGCCGGGCCCTGGGGGGAGTCCGCGGGGTGTGGGAGGGGGGGGGGGGGGGGGTGTTTCTGAACATCTGGAAAAAGCAGCAATGAGCTTCAGATACCGCAAATAGTGTTGGTAATGATACAAGACGGCCTTAAAGGCGACTCTTGGCCGCGGCCTTGGAGTCATCCGACGCGATGAGGACGAGAACGCAAATATCGTCGATCTTGCCGCCGTGCCAGTTCTCCTGCGGGTAGTACTTCTGCACTCCCTTGGCAAAGGGGCCGTCAACGTTGCGGTTTAGACTCGCCGACTTGGCGGCGGACGTGATTTCCGCCGCGAGCACGCTCTGCAAGGTAAGAAACTTTGAGGAAGGTCGCTCTGAGGCGTCTTCAGCGGGTTTTGTAAAGGGCTTGAGATTGTCGACGACGCGGACCCCATTCTTCGTCATGAGCCATGCGCCTGTCGTTGTCATGACATTGCTAACAATACGGAGGATGTCCTGGTTGAACAGGTTGTCCCATACACCGTCAGTTGCGAAAACGATGATATCACCGTGACGGAGGTCATGGTGAGTGACGTCGGCGTCTTTGGGAAAGTCGCATAGGTTCTGGCCACCAAAAGCTGCCATCCGAGCGGCTACGCTGGGAGGCACGATAGAGAGCTGATAAGGCGTGTTAAAGGCATGCGTTTGGGGTTCAGAGTAGGTGTGTACGGCGTTCAATCGGAGCTGGATGAAGCCAGAGTCGCCTAGGTTGGCAATGTCGAGGTTGCCGTCTGAGGATGCTACAGCAACACACGCTGTACTGCCGCCAGCAATGACGGTGCTGTCCTCATTGATCGCCTGGTATCCCTTTTGCATCAGATCTTGCGCTCTTAGCGGCTCCTTGTCACCCGTGCCCTTTGTGGTCGGGTCGTCTTTGATTGAACCGTGTCCGTAGGCTGTCGAAGCCATGTAATCGCAGAAACCGTGTGAGAAATCCGCCGGGTCAACACCAGAATCTACCCAGCCGCCGACGCCATCAGCCACACCAAGGGCCACTGCGCCAGAGTCGCCGACTCGACTGACGAAAAAGGCATCGTGTCCGCTGTCTGGTCTGGAGCGTTTGCTACGGTTCTGCTGGATACGGTTGTAGGGATTGAAGTGAAAGACGTGCGTTGATGGGTCGTAGGGATGGTCTTTCGCGGTAAAAGACGCAGCAACGTGGTAGGATAGCTTTGCAGCCGAGTCGGACTTCATGCTTCTGGCTGTTGAGAAGTATCGCGATGAGATGTTCGTCGGAGGGGTCGACCGTTGTCGGGCGAGATACTTTGAGAAGCTAACGGATGCTAAAGTATAATTAGTACGAGGATTTTAGAATTCGATGCAAAGCAGAAGCGTACCTTGTGATAATGGCCTTGTGGCAGGGAGGAGGACCAGAGGCTGGCGCAATACTGTCACCGTTGCGGCCATTGCTTCCAATGTGCTGCGATGTAGAGTGTTTTTTGGAGATGCGGTGCTTCCGCAGTCCGCATATTAACCGTATCAATTGCTCGTTAGAAATGTGACTGGAATCACATAGCTAAATTGCGGACCCAAGATATTCTCGTAGCTCGAGACGCTTCTTCGACACGAGCACTTTCGTAATGTCAAATGGATAGACGACTTGTGATAGGTAGTCGCGTCTGAAAGGGAATGCAACGTCCACTTGATGTCATAAGAAAAAGGCCCCAACCCCGGATTCCCCAAGGCTGCTATCTACCCGGGGTATTCCCGCTGAGTCAGCTTTCAGCTGCTCCCGGTCCCAGATGCCGGTTTATTCCACACGAAAACCGGGGGAAGGAGGTGCGCGCTGCTTTAAGTTATCGCGAGCCGGGATTCCGGATGTACAGATATGATTGTCAAAATGTGCAGCGAAGTAAGGTAGTCTGGAGATTTCAACATCGGTATATTACTCACACAACAATGAAGATGCCTCTAAAAGGAGGGTTTTTGGACCTTCGAGTCGGTTTGCTGAGCATTTATCCGGAAACACAAGGTAAGAGCTCGGGATTGGGGCCAAAAGCGGCAATTGAAATGTGGTTTAAAATCACTCAGCAATGATTGGTCAAGGGTCCCACCTTTTTGCTCCGGCCGCTTCGACACAATAACCGAGGGATTGAAGCAAACTTCCATGATGTCTTCCACTACACTCTGAACCGCCACCAAGGATAATACTACGGTGAATCGCAGCTTTCCCACACCGCGCCCCGCCAATTCGTTGGAATCGCTCATCTTCAACTCGGTGTGTCAACAATCAATTCATTCATCTCCATTTTCTGCCCAGTTGCATACGAAAACCAACCGCCATAATGGCATCTCTCCGCTCTTCCACCCGCGTCTTGGGCTCGGCCACCAAGGCTGCTTTCCGCCCTGCCGTCACTATTCCTCGCCGTGGCCTGGCTACCCCTAGCGATCAAGTGCCTGCGACAAAGGAGCCCAAGATGAAGAAGTTCACCATCTACCGCTGGAACCCCGACACGCCGACCGAGAAGCCCAAGATGCAGGAGTACACGCTGGACCTGAACAAGACCGGACCCATGATGCTGGATGCATTGATTCGGATCAAGAACGAGCTGGACCCTACCCTTACCTTCCGCAGAAGTTGCAGAGAGGGTATTTGCGGTAGCTGCGCCATGAACATTAACGGCCAGAACACGCTCGCTTGCCTTTGTACGTTGACTCCTGAAGCACCCTCGTAGCCACCTGGCTTTGCAAGCTGCTGAAAGAACTCACGGCGATTCAATGCTAACAACAACGAAAGGCCGTATCCCTTCAGAGAACGCTTCAGACGTCAAGGTCTACCCTTTGCCTCACACCTACGTCGTCAAGGACTTGGTGCCGGACTTGACCCAGTTCTACAAGCAATACCGCTCAATCAAGCCCTACCTCCAGAGAGACACTCCTGCCCCTGATGTACGTTGATTCAGACTGCAGCATCTCGAATGATCCCAGCTAACCTCTTCCATAGGGCAAGGAATACCGCCAGAGCGTCGCCGACCGAAAGAAGTTGAGCGGTCTGTACGAGTGCATTCTTTGCGCCTGCTGCTCAACCTCGTGCCCGTCTTACTGGTGGAACTCTGAGGAGTACCTTGGACCCGCCATCCTCCTCCAGTCCTACCGCTGGCTCGCCGACTCTCGCGATCAGAAGAAGGCCGAGCGTAAGGCTGCACTCGACAACTCCATGAGCTTGTACCGTTGCCACACGATTCTTAACTGCACACGTGCCTGCCCCAAGGGCTTGAACCCCGGCAAGGCTATTGCCGAGATCAAGAAGCAGATGGCTTTCTAAGAAGCTAGAGAAGCTGTGGGGTCTACGTTTGGAGTCATAATCTTGGGCGGCGCGATATTGGCTGTATACTAGGTAGTGTGTACTTTATGAGCATGGCTGGAGTTTGAACTCCTTGGACACACTAAAAGGGGACTTTGAATTCAGGCTTTCTTTTGTTTTCGTTAGCCCGCAGTAACTCATAGGAGTTTGGCCCTGTGTCTGAAAGTGCCTGAGCGATGAGATGGGAGGCCAGGCTTAGCTAGGCTCGAGACTGGCACGGCACGTGAAGGAACGAGCCGATTGAAGAGGACGCAGAGGACGCGATATTAGTGAGTCGCCACGGGCGAATTGTTTGCGACGGGGTGGCTTCACCATACCAGATACCTAGAGTAACCCTAAATTACTATTTTCAACACTTCACTTCTGCAGCGCAAGAGTTATTGTGGGTCAATTGGTCTTGCAGCAACCGCGCAGATCGTTGCGCCTGATCAAGTCGCATTACTGTGTGTTGAAGACATTAAAAGTCTAATTGGTTGGCGTTTCAATTGTAGGTTGAGAGTCACGTTCTCCTTTTAGTTGTGTGGTTGTCTACCGAGGCTCTGCATTGTTTGAAAGTGTGGCAAAGTAGAACTGCTGACGATGGGCGATTCTCGTCGTGAAGTCATGGATTTTCTCCTCCCCATCGACAAAGAGACCCAGTTCCACCCGCACCTCGGCAATGCCGCTCGGGAACGGGCAAAGAGCACCCGTAGTGTACACAATTCGACGTGCAAACTAACAAGTTATCAAACTGTCAAACAGAGGGAAAGAGGAAATGGCAAAATATAGAGTCAACAATTGATCGCAACCAGAGACATTGACTTTTGGTCATTGCCTGTCTGTTAAGAATAGAACCTCGAGTTTCGGGCGGCTGATCAACGAAGGCTAAGCTTTCATCCGGTCGCACTGATGATACCCCGGAATCGTTCTCGGAATTTGACGGGACTTTACATGTGAACTCTGCCCCGGAAACCAACTGTGGCTTGACCATGGCTGTGGCGTGAGTCCACTAGCCATAGCTATCTCAACCAATCACCAACAGTGTGATTACCCGAGGTGCCGAGCTGACTTATTGCAGAAGACGTGTGCGAGGTTTGCCGTGGTTTGTTCCGTACTTTTCTCCATACACTGGTTGGAGGTCTATTCATCACTCAGAGACCGCACCTCGTTTTGGAGACCAGTTCAATTCGACGGTGAGTATCCCAAATTCCAGGTACCTCTGTTACCAATTTGTTAACTTTGCAATTCTAGGCTTGACCTCTCCTCTCTCTTCCGTCTTCCGATAACGGTCAGTACCGATCTATCCATCCACCCGGTTACACACGAGCGGCTTTCAACCCAACATCTTCGGCCATCATCACCTCGCCCCCTTCGCCTCCCGCAATTCTAGATAGAACATACAGCCGCGACCGAAACGCATACTGATACTGCAAGATAGTGTACACATCAATCATGGCCTCATCAATGGCGTTGAGGAGGTTTGCTGCTAAGCCTGCTGTACGTCGCTCCTTTGATCCGTCCTGCGTTTAAATACGGCCTCGGCTTGAATAGTAAAACTAATACTTGGCAATCTCAGTTCTCGCAGGCGCGCGCATTCTCCACGACCAGATCCGCCGCGCGGATCTACGCGAACCAGCACCTCCGCGCAAAGGAGGCTTCACCCTACCTTTCCAGCAAGTACCCCGTCGTCGACCATGAGTACGACGCCATTGTTGTCGGTGCCGGTGGTGCTGGTCTTCGTGCTGCCTTCGGCCTCGCAGAGGCTGGCTTCAACACTGCCTGTATCTCAAAGCTTTTCCCTACCAGAAGTCACACTGTCGCCGCTCAGGGTGGCATCAACGCCGCCCTCGGAAACATGCATGAGGACGACTGGAGATGGCACATGTACGATACCGTCAAGGGTTCAGATTGGCTCGGTGACCAGGATGCTATTCACTACATGACCCGTGAGGCGCCTGCCTCCATCGTGGAGCTTGAGAATTACGGATGCCCCTTCTCAAGAACTGAGGATGGCAAGATGTGAGTCGAAGAAAAGAAGGCCCAGAAACACCTTGGATACAGACAGATGCTAACATATCTCGCTTCACAGTTACCAGCGTGCATTCGGTGGTCAGTCTCAGAAGTTCGGCAAGGGTGGACAGGCTTACAGATGCTGCGCTGCTGAGGATCGTACTGGTCACGCTCTTCTCCACACTCTTTACGGACAGTCTCTCCGTCACAACACCAACTACTTTATCGAATTCTTCGCTCTCGACCTGATTATGCAGGATGGAGAGTGCCGCGGTGTCGTCGCATACAACCAGGAGGACGGCACTTTGCACCGTTTCCTTGCTAACCACACCGTCTTGGCCACCGGCGGATACGGACGTGCCTACTTCTCTTGCACATCTGCCCACACCTGCACTGGTGACGGTATGGCCATGGTTGCTCGTGCTGGTCTGCCTAACCAGGACTTGGAGTTCGTTCAGTTCCATCCCACTGGTATCTACGGCGCTGGCTGCTTGATCACTGAGGGAGCCCGCGGTGAGGGTGGTTACCTCCTGAACTCCGAGGGTGAGCGCTTCATGGAGCGTTACGCCCCCACCGCTAAGGATCTTGCTTCCCGTGACGTCGTCTCCCGGTCCATGACCATGGAGATCCGCGAGGGACGTGGTGTTGGCGAGGAGAAGGATCACATTTTCCTCCAGCTCAGCCATCTTCCCGCTGAGGTTCTTCACGAGCGTCTGCCCGGTATCTCCGAGACCGCCGGCATTTTCGCTGGTGTCGACGTTCGCACCCAGCCTATTCCTGTTCTGCCCACCGTCCACTACAACATGGGTGGTATTCCTACCAAGTACACCGGTGAGGTCATCACTGTTGACGAGTCTGGTAACGACAAGGTCGTCCCTGGTCTGTTCGCCTGCGGTGAGGCCGCCTGTGTCTCTGTCCACGGTGCCAACCGTCTGGGTGCCAACTCTCTCCTCGACTTGGTCGTCTTCGGCCGTGCCGTTTCCCACACCATCCGTGACAAGTTCACTCCTGGTACTAAGCACAAGCCTCTGGCTGCTGATGCTGGTGCTGAGGCCATTGAGACTCTGGATGACGTTCGCACGCGCGAGGGTAGCAGAACCACATCCGACGTTCGTCTGTCTATGCAGAAGGCTATGCAGACTGAGGTCAGCGTTTTCAGAACACAGGAGTCTCTGGACGAGGGTGTCCGCAAGATGACGGAGATTGACGCTCAGTTCCCCGACGTTTCCATCAAGGACAAGAGCATGATCTGGAACTCTGACTTGGTTGAGACCCTTGAGCTCCGCAACCTGTTGACCTGCGCGTAAGTTCCCTTCAATACTGTTCCTTTCATGGGGACGTTAACTAACGACGAATAGTTCCCAAACTGCCACTTCCGCCGCCGCTCGCAAGGAGTCTCGTGGTGCCCACGCCCGCGAGGACTTCCCCGACCGTGACGACGTCAACTGGATGAAGCACACCCTCTCTTTCCAAAAGAACCCCCACGGCAAGGTCGACCTCGGCTACCGTGGTGTTATTGCCAACACTCTGGACGAGAACGAGTGCAAGGCTGTTCCTCCCTTCAAGCGTGTGTACTAAACCTGTTATGATTAGAACCGGTGTCGGGTGTTGGTAGGAAATTCGGTTACGCGAGGGGAAAGGAAGACGCAGACGATGGGAGGGCCAGAGAGTGGCGGAAGGCAATATCAAAGGCAATCGTAATACCACGACAACAATTTAGTTAATGATCGTGGGTGAGCCGCGTGGGGGATATCGCTACCTGGACCCTTTGGAATCAGGCTATTAGGGCTGGTGCATACACCGCAGGCTTTTGGGCTTTGGCTCTGGAGTTAAAAACGTGTAAAGTAGGAGGAGAAATTCATTTTGTTCAAAGACTACACTCGGGCAGCCTATTCTCTGTGTCCTTAGCGCTCTATCGGAGTTGGTTGGGTTATCAATTAATTGTGAGGCACAGAGAATCTGAGTACAAATTTAGGGATGTCGTCGATGTCGTGGCTCCAGCGACTGTATCATCGTGTAAGAAACTGAAGTACCCTTTTTGAAACCAGGCTGCTAATATGTATTGTATGAAGGATATCATCTATTCATTATACAGGATCATCAAACGTTTGTCTCGATCGCTTCCTAATTCTTTCATCCCATTCATAACTTTGTGGCGTCGGCGAGCGCCCTCAGTAATCGGTTGGTAACGTGGACGGGTCAACACTCAAGCTGGACGTGGGTGTGCACATAGGCTTGGAGTACGACGGCCAGGGCTTGCAGTCGGCGTGGCATCTACATTTTTACGGCAAAGTCAGCAAACATGATACGCTGTACTAATATGTGTGGCATTAGAAGCGAAGAAGCAAAACTTACCCGCCATACCACTGTCCGCACTCGTTAATGTAATCAACACACACGCTACGCGTGCTGCAGTTGTCGACCGCCGTCGTGGGTAAAGTAGTCAAGCTGGGCGGTGCCCGAGTGATTGTCGGGCTGCGCGTGGGCGGCAGGCTGGGCCGGGTTGGCCTAGTGAAGGAGGGCTTGAATGTCTTCGAGATTGTCGACTTGCTCAGCGTGGATTTGCAAGGCGGCATGGTGGGCTTCATCTGCGGCTGACACATGTCGTAGCAGCCGCCCCATCGGATTCCGCATTCTGGGTTGATGCCGTCGAGACACATGGTTCGCGGGCAGTCGGCGGCGTTGGAGGGCGGGACTTGGATCTGGGCGGCTGATAGGCCGACGATGGCTAGTATTGTGAAGATGTTGTTGGAGAGCATGTTGACTATTTGGTTGCGTGGTGACCTTTGGTGATGAAGATGATCGAAATCTCTGCGGTTGCGGTGTGGTGTAGCTTGAGATACAGAGGGGCAGTTATCAAGTGGGTGATGTAAGTTGCACTGTAGCAAAGTCTCTGAAGCTGGACATCAAGGTTGCTATATATGTTCCCAAGTTTGCCTCGAGGTTGTACGGGTCGGCGAACTCTCCGATCTCCGTCATAAGGGTAGCTACTTAGACGGGAAGACGGGCACTAGCACATGTAGGTTTGTGATTCTCTCGGCCGCAGACGAGCTTGGTTCGCCCTGCCCAGCCTCAGCAGGCGCAGCCCCAGTTTGGTAGTTCATTCCACGATAGCCTCGAATTGGTGGTGACCTCGGCCTGCTTGGTGTGATTGCCAAGAGAGGAAGAGATATGCTAGACCCGAGTGCAGATCATCCCAGGGCTGCGATGAATGGGATGATGAGCGCATCCGGTTCAGAATTGGCGACATAGTGCGCGCCGCAGGACCAAGCCGCAAGGTGTAGTCCATAGTGGACGGCTGTCTAGTGATCTAGGATCGACGGTGAAGTCGATGTCTTACTCTTCAGGCTGTTTTCGAACAGCTCGAATTCCATCCACAGTGCCGCAAGGAGGTTAGCAGGTTTTCGCTCCCGAGGATCAAAGGGATGAATGGACAGGATTGCGGGGTCCCATAGGGTTATACAGACACACGACCTTTGTTCGTGATACCCTTCAGCTTGAGAAAGATGTGCGAGCGACGGAATCGGACAGAAAACGGTTTTCTGCGGGCTGTGGTAGGTATACATTCTTATCGATCATGTCCTTGGCGAAGAATGAAGTCTTCTCCCACAATAAACAAGCTTGGGCCTTCATAAGTAGACTTACACATAGAAATAGTGGTGATGTTCTCGATGTCGTCTAGATCAATCTGCAGAGACTCTCGATAGCTCTACAGTGCCTAATTATGAAGAGAAGTTACCGGTGCGAGCCGACGTCAAGGCAGTACCTGTCGAGGCCCCAGATTATCATATTCCTGCCATGGCGCTTGTCTCAGGAGGGCGTCGATCTGGACCACCTTGTCAGCGAACGGTCTCCGCGGATAGATTTGGACCGGTGATCTCTAACTCACTTCTCAAGTCGCATCCGGTCCTTCGAATCAAAAAGATCAGGGCGATGCATCAGGCTGTCTGCTGCGAGATGCGCCATGTGGCGAGCAGGATCCTAAGCGAGTAGTATTAGAGCAGGCATTAGCTCGGCCGGGACATTTTCCGAAGTCATTTACCAGAATCCTCGACAGGTTCACCTTAGATACCCACGCAATACCCAAGCTGTCAAGTGTGTGCGATGTTCTCAGGAGTGTGGAACCAACAAACATGGTTTGAGAGGCCACAAACCCCTTCCGCCGTTTGGAGGAATGTCACCGCAGGTATGTTCCAGGCAGCTTGCTGTAACATGCTGTGAGCGATTTCGCTCACCGCTTGGTAGTCAAAATTGATGACATCAATCAGGCGATAGGTTAGATAGTTGTTCGAAGGGATGTCATCTCGTATTTTGCGAGGAATGTCCATCCCGGGATCGAGAAGCGGGCACCAAGCCTCGCAACGTGCAAAAGCTATGAATAGCACCGAGCATGCGGCTGATCGCTTCTTCCTTTGATGTAAAGAGGCATTGCCCAAGAAGTCTATCGACCCCTTCTTCCTGTCCAGCTTGGCCACTTGTCTTCCCCTCACGTTGTCTAAGTCAAGGACATACGTTGGTCAGAACGCGGGGAGAGATCACACACGTCGCACGGAGACATAAGCCATGGCAGGCTCCTGTCGTATATCATAGTTACCTCGCTTTTGCCTTTTTGTCCTTGCCACATACTCAGTGCTCTGATGTGCTTTGAGGTTCCTTCCTTGATAGAAGTCAGGCAGTAAGTGATCACCACGTTTGATTGAGATGGCTCCTTCTCATATTGCATGTACCAGGCGTGCTGGGGCATGATAATCGACTGCGAGCCACACGAACGAGGCCGTCTCCAGCAAGTTCCATTATTGGAAAATAAATGTAAGTGGCTCAAAGTCAAGTGAATAGAGGAATCGAGGTGAATATCCGTAGCATGAGGTGGGTTTGATCCCAACAGTCTGTTTTTGGGCGACCCGGCGATCATCGATAAGATCATTGATTTTGAGACTGAAACCGTACCCCCCCCCTCCTCGAGTGGGAAGAAGTGTATCATAGTGTTTCTGGCCATTCCTTTCGATATCTAACTCCTGCAAGAAAGTGATAGATGCCCCGCCAGTCATGCCAATCATCATTATCAGACCTAGAAGACAATATAGCGGTGTCTACAAAGTAAGAAGTCATTTGCACTCCGGAACAACCGGCAGGCGATTCTCTCAGGGTTCAAGGTGTAGGCTCACATTACCCCGGGTCCTGTTTCAAGCGGTAACCCACGCCGTCTTCCCAACGCTGGGCCATGTCTCAACCGCAAGTCCTTATGCATCTCCCCGGAAATCGTTTGACGAAATAACTCTTTCTCACACCAGCCAAGGTGGCAGTACGGCAGCGAAACATTATCCCGGAAACCAAGCATTCATGATATTGTAGTGACCGCCCCTTATTTGTTATTTTCTAACTTTCCTATGTACGCCTTTGCTGGTATCAATCAATGCTGCCCAAACGTGGAATGAAGTTCCACACATGCTAATAAAATCTCTTCATTTTCCCTCATTGGTTCTCGAGGTACGCCTTCCATCCTTTACTCTGCAGCTCAGAAGCCTTGTGCTCAACTTCCCGGGACATGTTGCTCATGTACTGAGCCATCTTTTGCTGGTACTCGAGGCTGGACGACCCGAGAATCTTGACAGCGAGGAGGGCAGCGTTGGTGGAGTTGTTGATACCGACCGTTGCCACGGGGCAACCGCGGGGCATTTGCACGATGCTCAGCAAGCTGTCGTGGCCGTCAAGATGAGTGGCCTTGACGGGCACGCCAATCACTGGCACAGTTGTCTCGGATGCCAGCATGCCTGGGAGATGGGCAGCACCGCCGGCTTTGGTGATGTTAGTAATGTCTCCAAAGGGTCGATCGACATATGTAGACTTACCAGCTGCGATCAAGACCTTGATGCCACGCTGCGCGGCGGTCTTTCCAAGTTCAACCATACGATGGGGCGTACGGTGAGCAGAAGTGATGTCAAGGTCATAGGGAACCTCGAAATGCTCAAGAATCTCGAAGGCACCCTTCAAGACCTTGAGGTCTGAGTCAGAACCCATGGTGACAACAACCAAGGGCTTATCGGCGTTGCGGGAGCTGGTCTTCTTGGCAGGAGACTCTTGCAGACGAAGTTGGTCTGAGGCAGCATCGAGTCGCGCTTCGCGCATGTAGTTCACCTCGTTAATCAGAGGCGCTGCTAGCCTCTCCAAGCTGGAGTTGGCAGAGTGAGTCGTCACAGTGATGTGTCCAATCTTGCGGCCAGGCTTGGACGATTTGCCATAGAGGTGGAGGAACACATCCATGTTGTCATCGTATAAGGATGTGGTCAGGTCGACCAACTCTTCGTGGGAGTCTTCACGCGCACCGCCGAGAATGTTGAGCATCAGAGCGCCGGAGACGCGAGGCTGCAACTTGATAGATCGCGGGAGCATGTCCAAGATGGAGTGGAGCTGCGCCTTGTACTGCGACATGTAGGGCACACCCTCAATAGTCCAGTGGCCTGAGTTGTGGGGACGAGGAGCAACCTCGTTGACGGTGATTGTGCCTGTCATCAAGTTAGTTGATCCTCAAGTCTTGTAGTCTCTGCTAACTGACCGTCCTTGAGCAGGAACATCTCAACAGCGAAGACACCTCTGCCCTTCACCGTCTTGATAACATCCCCAGCCACCTGGCGTGCCTTCTCACATACATCCGCACTGACTTGGCGAGGTGGGTAGTACACCTTGGTGCAGATACTCTCCTCGTGGATAGTTTCGACAGCCGGGTAAGTGTGAACCTTTCTCAACTCGCCGTCCTCATCCTCAGTTCGCACAACCATGACGGCGAGCTCCATCTCGAAAGGTACCCACTTCTCAGCGTAGAGTGAGAGCTTGCCCATCGTCCGAATAGCCTCCTCGTAGTCCTCCGGGCCCCTAACCTTGAAGTTACCACGGCCGTCATAGGAACCCTTTCTCGCCTTCAGCATGAATGGGAATTGGAATGCCCTGTAAGCGGCCGTGAGGCTCTCAGGCATAGCAGGGCCGGATTCAATGGCCATCTGAGGGGCAATGGGGAGACCACCCTTGGCAAAGTGCTCTTTTTGCAAGTACTTGTCCTGGATCAGACGCAGAGTCTGCCAATGGGGGTGACAGGGTACTTTCTTGACGGTGCCTGGAGCAGTGATAACACCGCGGGTCGCAATCTCCTCGAGAACCTCAGTGTTTACGTGCTCGATCTCGACAGTGAGGACGTCACACATGGCAGCCAATTCTCTGATCTTGGCCGGGTCCTTGAAGGAACCGGTGACGTGCCGGCTGTTTTGGTTAGCTTGCTTCGCAGGACAATTGGCCTCGTCCAGGATCGCGATATCGATGCCGAGGGGCCCCGCGGCCTCGCACAACATTCGGCCCAACTGGCCACCTCCAAGGAGGCCGATGACGGGCTTCTTGACCATTGTGAAAATCGACTTTGCGACTATGATAGCGCGAGTGCGAAGGTGAGGAGAAGCAAGTTAGAGCGAAACAATAGCCCAGATCAAAAGAAGGGTGGAGAGAGTGTTTCCCGAGGGAAGAAACGACTCATAAATGCAAGCACTTGGCTGGGGTAGAGCAAAGTTTTGACGCAGGAAGTTTACAGGTTTCTGCCCCATTGGGCAGGCGGTGAAAGATCACCCCGCCGTTATCGTCGCAAGAAAGCCCCACCCCCACTATGACAGCACAGGTGAGGATCGCCCATCTAGGTTTGATGCCACAGGGCCCCCCTGCTCCACTAAGAACCTCTGTAATTCTTCGCTGCAGGCGCCTTCGACGTTGTGAGTGAGTCCTAATCCGACTCAATCACACTCTCATCTCAACTCGGGCATTATACCACTCACTCTTGTGGGTGTCCAGATTGTCACCATGGCGGCCGACCTCTATAATGGAACTCTTTCAGATAGAACACAGTAGGTTTTGAGTTCCACTTCTTGTTCACCATGAGTCAAGGGGACTGACAACATGTGACTTTACACAGTCCCCTGAAAATATTCGATGCTGCCAAGAGTCAAGATAGATTTCTGAACGTCTCAGCCCCTATGGTGAGGTATAGCAAGGTGATTCAACTCTGGTGTCTCATTCAAGGAGGCCATTGACTCATCACCGCATAGCTCGCTTTCCGTCAAACCGTTCATGAATATGCTACCGATCTCTGCTGGACACCCATGATCCTGTCGAAAGAGTTCAACCGCAATAACTTTGCCCGGGACAGTGGTTCGTTGACTCCCCTGCGCCTCACTCCGGTACCTTCCCACGGTCTGACTCTTCTCCAAAGATCTCACAATATCCACCCGTGGAGTTCAGCCTCCCACGATAGTTCAATTTGGCGCAAACAGCCCTCTCGAGCTCGCTCGCTCATCATCTCTTGCCGCCCCTTTTGTCAACGGTGTCGATCTCAACTGTGGGTGCCCACAGTCATGGGCTTGCGCAGAGACTCTTGGTGCCGCTCTTATGGAGCAGCGCGAACTCGTACGAGATATGGTCATTGAGACTCGTCAACGCTTGGCTAGTGACGGTTGGCACGTTGGCAAGGAGCGGGATATCGACAGTCCAAAGGGAAGGAGCGTCAGCGTCAAGATCCGTGTGCACAAGGACTTGAGGCGAGTGCCCCTTAACCCTGAGCTTCTCGCTCACATCCTCTCGGGAACCGTCCTCCGCTAACTCTCATGCTTCACTAACTAGGAAGACGATGGACTTTATCGACACCGTCATTGGCAACCCCCTGAACCGTAATATCGACTTCCTGACGATCCATCCCCGTACCCGTCATACAGCATCCACCACCCCTATTAACACCGAATCTCTTGGCATTCTCCTCGAGAAATACGGTGACACGCTCCCAATCCTTCTATCCGGCGATGTCTTCTCCATGGCCACGCTACCCCTGTCGACGGTATCCAAAGCACCAGAAGAACCTTTGGAACCGACACTGATCAACGGCCATAATGGCTATACGGACTTCACCCCCAGTGGCACCAAGTTGGCAGGTCTCATGTCTGCGCGGGGTATCCTCGCAAACCCTGCTCTTTACGCTGGATTCGAGTCTTGTCCGTGGGAGGCTGTCGAATGCTTCATGCGCCACGTCATTCGTGCCCCGATGCCAGTGAAGCTCGTTCAGCATCACCTTCACGAGATGTGCGGACCAGGTATGGGGCCGGATAAGCGTGCTTTGCTGAATCGACAGGAGAGGGCAGCATTACTTGCTCTCGAAAATATGGTGGACGTGATAGATTTCTTGGATGATGCGATCAATCGCAAGACAGGCAGGACGGAAGGACTTCATCGAGAGCCGAGACGTAGCTCAACAATTCATATACCATAAACTACTACCCTCTCAATCTGCAGCGATGTTTTTTGACTTTATGATAAATTCGCTATGAATTGTAATCACTACTAAGGTATTTCCTACCTTTGCAAAGCATCGCTTGCGCCATGACCTCTGCCAAACTACCACCCTTGGAACGCCGTGTCTCTGTGAAAGCGTGCTGTGACTCTCGCGCATACCAAGATGCTTGCGCTTGAAGCCGCCTTAAGTGAGTGACCACTATGGTACATAAGCGTCATCTTGCGCCTGTCGACCCTTTGTCCGAATACCCGCCGTAAAATGCGATGGACCTCCAACGCCCATGGTCCGTGGGATTATTACAATGTTACAGGCTAGAGCTCCTAGTCCAAGACCTCCCCTTCATCTTCATCGGACAGTCGTGCCCGCTTCTGTTCTCTGCCCTCGGAATCCGAGTCAAGCTCCTTCCTCTTTCCTGGGGACGCCAGGTTATTGCCATTCGCTCTCTCTGGCTCCTTAAGCGTGGCCTGCGAGCCAGACTCAGTATTAGTGACGTCATCGCGACCATTAGCCCTAGCTCTTGGGCTCTGCGTTCCTCTATCCAGCTCAAAAGGCGTGCCTGCTGTAGAGGAGAGAGCATCCTGGCTCATCTGATCCCTTGGCTGTCTAGTATTGGCCAGGTCAAAAGCTGGTGATGGCAGTGACGGGTTCTGTTTACGGAGCGGGTTCTCAGTGTAGAACTGTCGGACAATGTCGATGGCCTTGGCACACTTGTCTTCGTTTCCTTTCAGTGCCCTCCACCACGGTTCGCCGTTGACATCTTCGATCTTCTGCTGTGTGTGTATACTGGCAAAGAAAATGGCACTGATGGCAACGTCGCGTGCTTCGAGCAGTAGAGGGATGGAGGTAAGGCAGGCGTCGCTGCAGAACGCCCAAGCTGACTGCCTCAGATGTTTGTTGTGAACTATTTCGAGTTGACCGAGAAGCTCGAATAGACGCTGGTAAGGGTTCTCCACCATGAGGTCGAATGTGAGGTATTCCAGCATCAACTCCTCGTACATGAGAATGCTGTCTCTCCACCGCCAGTACTCCTTGCTCATCTCATCTATCATTAGCTTGGGGTTCTTTTGGGCGACCTTCGCCACTGTGATGATGATTTCCTTTGTCTTCCGACAGTTTTCTTCTGTCTTATTCGCGAGAAAGAGCGCAGTGGCTGCAATGTTCTGTTCAACCGATTCCGTCAGCATTGGTTCAGCTTGAGCCTTTTGGGTCCCTCGTTTGGATCTGGGAAGTGCGGATTGTGCCTGACACTTATAAGACACCAACACGAACGCATTTAGACTGGGGATTGAGCAGAGATATGTCTCACGTAGTGGTGGATGCCGTTCTTCTCTTCAACCATACTGTATCGCATATAGAACCGGTGGAAGAAGACACCTGCAACCCAAAGGGTGATTTGGGGCAAGTCGAGAAGAACTCCGGCCTGATATATGAAGTTGACACCCTTCGCGCGTCGTAGGCGCTCCTCTGCCGGTGAAATGCCATCTAGAATACTCGGTGTGCTCAGGGTCTCGTCGGGGGTGAAGTACCACTGATTGGGCGGAGGTCCTGGTGTTTGCGCCCTTGACCGCTGGGGTGAGCGCGTGTCTCGCTGAGAATGAGGGCGCGGCGGCGAGGTCCGCGATGAGTGTGTCGGGGGAGATGGAACTGCAGGTGGCACATCAAGACGACGCCCGGGAGATCTGGATTGCCGGTCTGGTCGAGGCGGACCCGGGGGGAGCGTGGGAGGCTGGTAGGCCTCTCTGGAAGGCCGATAGCGATCGATACTAGCCATCGCCGCGAAATTATTGTGATACCTCCAAGTCGGCGATTGGTAAAAGTTGATGTGAGAGACTGATCATGGGTGAAATGGCGCTCGCCGTCGCAAGTGGTAGTGTTGGATGATGGCGGAATCGCTTTCCTTGGTTTAGCTGAGGTGGATTTTCGACCCTGTTTGAGTCGCGTTATCTTATCAACAGATCCACGTGATCACTTAAGACCCCTGCGTGTCCTGGCCAGCAGGTGGATAGGTACATCGGATGGGAAGATAGATAGGTGTTCAGGTCAGGTAAATGGGGAGCTACTCGATTTAGCCATCCCCGAATTTTGACCCTTAAGGGATCCTTAAGAGGGGAGAAATGTCGAGAACTTCATCATGGTTGTGTAGAGTGCCTACGGATTTCGAGGACAGGAAGCATCGAAAATACTTTTACTACCTAAGGTAGGTACGTTACGGTCCATGGCCTGCGCTGGAAGCTATCGCACTTCGAGGTAGGTAGGTCCTTATGTAAGCTTGAGGTGCACACGGACCTTGGTGCTGAGGTGTCTCCGTACCTGCAGCAGCATTTGCCCATTCCGAATCAGGCAACAAGGCATCAATCAGCTTGGTACGCACTTTCCCTTGCTGAAGCTGGCCGTGACGCGAGCATGGAGCTGCCTGAGCTACTCCCCAATTCAACGTCAAAGAACCCCATTCCCCATTCCAATCATCACCAAGCCCAACACTTCCACGAACATCAACGAAAGCCCGCTCAGAAATAATTCTTTACTCTCACCACCCCTTATCGACCGGTTAATTCGACAATTTCCCCCGCCCGCTGACCGCCGAGATGGACAGCCTTGTGGCCAAGTACAGCCGCCCGGCGTTCGAGCAACACAACACCTTCAGAGACGATGAGCAGGAGGACCTTGAGCTCCTGGGTGGAGCGCCGCCGCTGTCATTGAAGTTTGCTATGCCCCCGGTCGCACATGTGAGTTCAACCTCTTGACTGGGTTTCCGTTTGAACCTGAGATGCACCATCAGACTGACATGGGGAACCCCTCAATGCAGCCCTCCTCCTGGCTCCGCGCAGCAACAGACGACCGAGCCAACCCCGACTGCCCCATCAAGATTGCCCACGGCACAACGACCCTCGCCTTCCGATTCCAAGGCGGCATTATCGTCGCCACCGATTCCCGTGCGACTGCCGGAAACTGGATTGCCTCGCAAACAGTCAAGAAGGTCATTGAGATCAACTCAGTGCTCCTGGGCACCATGGCCGGCGGTGCCGCTGACTGTCAGTACTGGCTTGCATGGTTGGGCATGCAGTGCCGCCTGCACGAACTCCGCCACAAGCGCCGCATTTCCGTCGCCGCGGCGTCCAAGATTCTCGCCAACCTCGTCTACTCATACAAGGGCATGGGCCTCAGCATGGGCACCATGTGTGCCGGCGTTACGAAGGAGGAGGGCCCTGCGCTGTACTACGTCGATTCAGACGGCACTCGTCTGCCTGGCAACCTCTTCTGTGTCGGCAGTGGTCAGACTTTTGCCTACGGTGTTTTGGACGCTGAGTACCGCTACGACTTGACCGACCAGGAAGCTCTTGACCTCGGTAGCCGAAGTATTCTTGCCGCTACGCACCGTGACGCCTACTCTGGTGGTTTCATCAACCTCTACCACGTCAAGGAGGAGGGCTGGGTCAAGCACGGCTTCAATGACACGAATCCCATTTTCTGGAAGACGAAGCTGGAGAAGGGCGAGTTCACCAACGTCACTGCCGACTTGGACTAGATGTCGGTGGAGAAGGACAGTGATTTGGTGCCGCTGAAGTCATACGTGTCGTGGGGTTCCTTCCAGAATCCCGCTTTCAGCTAGTCTCCAGGCGGAAGCCCGAGACCGAATCTCGCTCCAGTGTCGCTTTTGCCGGGACAGAGCGATATATCCCACCTATCACTATGACGTGCAAGGAGACAAGAAGATTTTACTACCTCGCACAGGAATGAATAGAACGGTTATGACAGGCAAGTTGAGCGCAGTCGCGGAATCGAGCATGGCTTGTCAGGTTGTCCATTAGACATCTATACTCTCAAGGGAGAGTGCAGGTGTTGTGTAACTTGTACACTAGATTATGATACAAGTTCATTCTCACGCTTCTTCTACATTGTTATTACATGTGATTCTATAACCAAAAAAGGGGTATCATAAGGTTTTAATGTTCTCTTCTTCTCCATCCAGGGACACCCAGGATGCCACCCTCTTCGCTGGACGGGTCAATCGACCACTTGCGCTCAGGATGTACGGAAAGTGAACTCTCCCAGCCAGCTTCGTACATTTCCATGCCGGTCCATGCAATCATGGCCGCATTGTCCGTACACAACGCTGGTGGGGGCGCCGTGATCTCCACATGCTCGAATCCGCGGACGTAGAGCAGCTTCCGTAGCACGTGCATGAGGAAGCGGTTGCTCGCGACACCGCCGCTTACGACGAGTGTTTTCAGTGCATCTTTCAATTCCGGCTCGGCGGCAAGAGCGAGGAAGATGCGAGTTGCCAGGTGCTCGAATAGGAGGCGCATGGTGGCGCGGGCGAGGATCCGTCGTTCGTCGAGAGACATGGAGCCGCCTCTTGAGGTGGCGATTTTGCGGACTTCGCTGCCTAGGCCATTGAACTCGTAGGATAAGGCGCGGGAGGCGGAGAGGGGAGGGTGGAGGGTCCAGGAGTAGGGTGGGGGAGCGGTGTACGGCGCGATTTCGTCGACGCGGCGGAGGGGAGGGGTGTATTCGTAGTCGTGACCGTGCTGGCTTTTGGGATCTGATGATGATAGAGAGGAGGGGACAAAGGAGTCGGGAAAGGCGAAGCGTTCGAGGAGGGCGCCGTACATGACGTCTCCGTGGGATGCTAGCATGTCCGGCGGGAGGATGTGGCGCGCTGCCTTGTCGAGGGCGTCGCCGACGGCGATGTTGGAGGAGGAGGCGAGGATGCGGTGAGATGTGAGGGAGCGGGAGTGGACGAGCTGGGTGTGGCCGCCGGAGACTAGGAGGGTGAGGAAGGGGTATTCTGGTTTTTTAGTAGCGGTGACATCGACTGTTGGAGAGGAGGAGGCGGTGGTGGATGAGGACGCTGTAGATGTCGTCGGATCATGGCGGGCGAGCGCGGAGACGAGGCGAGGGGTGAGGGCGTGGGCTTGCATGTGGTTCACGGCCAGGAGGGGCACCTGCCATGCTGTCGCGAGGCCTTTCGCCGTGGAGAGCCCGGATGCGAGGTTCGCGGACATACCGGGGCCGCGGGTCACCGTCACGAAGTCGGGTTTCTGGCGCAGAGTGCCGGCGACTGTGAGCGTATTGTTGCTTGATAGCCCTTTCCCTCCTTCTCGTATCAACTTGCTGTCATCGTGATTCCGAGCTTCTTCCTCGGAGGCAGCTGGGGGCAGAGAGGAGAGGGCTTCGGCGACGAGTGGCGCGAGCGATGCGTCGTGGGAGCGTAGGGCGACGGGCGGGTAGACGCCGCCGTAGGCCGTGCTGTCGGATGTGATTTTGCGGTGAAAGTGGAGGGTCGCGCGACCCAGGGGACCGGGGTCTTTGGAGAGGAGGGCGACGCAGGTATCGTCGCACGATGTTTCGATTGCGAGGGTCAGGAGAGTTCGGTACTGGTGCTGGCGCTGGAGCTGGTTTTGCTGTCGAAAGGGCGTCGGCCGCACATGCGCTGCCGGGGCTATTGCTGCGTTACCGTTGATGGTTCGATGGAGGTGAAGAGACGGAGCGCGCCATCTTTGGAAAATCGTGAGGGAAGGGCAGCGCATTGAGGGAGCATGGTGTGGATATAGGTGTCGGGAAGTGCTTCGCGAGAGGAAGGCTACAATGCGACGATGAGAAGTTCGGGAAGCTCTTATCTTATCACATGTAATCTTATCGGTTGTCTTCACCGAGGACTCACCGACTTACACGCTTCCCAAACCAAGCTGCAACGCCTGGTGTATTCCCCAGCCCGTCAGACAATCTTCTTTATTCTACTGAGGGAGCTGAGCCTTTAGATGGCATTCAATTACTACGAAAACAAGAGAATCTCAATGAAATTTTCTCCTTCTTTTCCGCCGTTGCTGTGGCTGGAGTTGGTGAAGGCCGCCCCTTGCTGTGGAAGACTAGGGACGTATCGCGCACGAAAATTCCCTTCTTTAGCGAATCTACTTACACATGTACTTATGCTTGCGACTAAAGAATCTTGGAGAGTTCATTGATTAAGATTTTGTGCAGATTCTAGCTGCCATGCATTTTTGAAATCCTTTTCCTCCTGTTTACCAACCATGCAATTGTAGTAATGCTAATAATGCTGATGTCATCCCTGTTTCCAACTCCAAGATCCTGTTCGAGTTCATATACAAGTCGGCCCTTATATCCTTGCCGACGTTCAACTATCATGAATGTCTGTATAGTTTTCCTCATCTTTAGTTACCACTATCCCTCCTGGCAATAAAATTGACCCACTCGCAGCGGCAGCCGCCGGTACCACCATCGAAACCGCCAAAAGAAGCATTCTTATCCTTTCGAGGGTTCACAGTCGTTCCACCAAAGCCGATATCATTAGGGAGAAGCTTCGGTGTACTCGTATCGATGCCCTGGCGATCATTCACGGGCCAGTGCCACACGAACTTCTCGCCCGACTCCCCGCCGTGGGTGTCCGTCTTGATCGTGACGGGGTAAGGCATGGTGCCGGGGGTGGTGAGGAGCTGCGTGGTGTTCGCCGAGCGGGTCCAGATCTGGACGAGGAAACGCGTCTGAGACCACGTCACAAGGAACTTAGCCTCGCTCCTGCGGGATCCGCCGTCTTTGTCGAGCGGCACATTGCTCTCGCCCTCAGTCCCGTTGAGGGTAGTGACGGACTTGAGGTAGATGGTGCGCTTGAAGTAGGTGTAGAAACCGTAGTGCTCAGTCGGGAGGCCGCGATCATAAAGCCGTACGGGCTGCTGGACAGCATGAGGGAAGAGCTGTGCGGGGGCTCCAGTGCCATCTGCCTCGAGATCTGGAGCCGGTAGTCTGATGCCAAAGTCATCAGTAGAGTTCCCCGAACTCTGACGCTTGCCCAGAGCGTTGGGGCCGACGGTTTCACTGGCGGACTTGAGGATACTGAGATAGAACGGAGTCGGTTCGCCAGCTTTCTCGCTGGAGACAATGCCGTCGGTTGTGTTTCCGAGGAAGTACATTTCCTCAAAGGAAGGAGGGGCTGGGTTGGGTGTGAAAACTGGGTTCTGTCTTTTGATGAGTGCCCTTGCCCTAGCTACGATGCCGCCAAGGTTCAAATGGCGCTTCCCAGAGGTAGATCCGGGCCGAGGGGGTTCACCATTTGGCACATTCCAGAGATTGCGCGTGTTGTTATCCCATTGGATCTGCATGGTGAAAGTCGGCTGGTTGGGACGGTTGGGGGCCACAGATTCCTGTTCTTCCTTGGGAAGTGCGCAGCTCCAAACAGTCGAAGGGCTACTGCAGCCGGTAACTGCGGCGGTGTTGTCCGGGCCAACAACTGAGAGAACCCCAGTTGGCATCGGAGGGAAGTTTGTGAGGTTGAGAAAGATGCCGTCAACTGGTGCAGAGGCGTGGTTTCGCGGGATGAGGGTAACGCAAAGAACGATGATGAGAATGCTGAGGAAAAGACTAGCTCCGCATATGCCAAGGCAAACACGTCTTCTCTTTCGACCTTCACGACCGCTGCGACCATAGCATCCATTCGCCGGGATGCACCCACGGCCTTTCCAGAAGCCTCCAGCTTTGCGAGCTGCAATTTCTTCCTTTTCGTGGCGACGACGCTGTCGTTCAACGCGATGACCGTTCCCTTCTGCTGCAAGGAAGTGTTCCGGCGGCACAAACGTGCCAGCGAATCGTTCTGGAAGGCGGCCTTGCTGCCCAGGAGCAGGGCTGTTGCCTCTTGGCGCTGGTGTCAAGGGTATGTCGGTCATGTTGATGCCGCCTTGGGAACTCATTGTTCCGTTGATGGCTGGCGAGATTGGTCCCGGAGACGGGGGATAAAGTGCCTGCAAAGGGTGGCCCGCAGGGAAGACAGCTCGGTACCGCACGGCCTTCTGCTGAGGAGGAGGAGAGTATGGGGGCGGCTGCTCTGAAGGAGCTGGGCTGGGTTCGGCAAGCTGAGTTTTCTCTGACCGGGGCTGAAGTCGTGGAGTAGCTGATCGAGAAGACGACGCGGGTGAAGGATCCCGTCTGTCCATGAGTGGTGATGGGGTCCTTCTCGGAGTAGGAACTCTGACTATCGGCGCCTCTATATTGCGTGGTGATGGCCTTGGAGATGCTGGAAGGCCTGGTCGCTGAACAATAACTTGTTGAACTTCTTGTGGCTTGAATACCGTAGGCTGCAAGGCTTTTGTTTCCGAGACCGAGACCCTGGCGCCCTTTTCACTCCACCAGTCCTCATGCGCTGATGATTTGACTGGCTGTGATTCACTCTTCTGGGGTGGGACAATAGGGCTCTTCCTCTCTAGAAAGGGTGTCGTGATATGATCCCACCAACCACGAGTCTGCGTTGCCGCGCTGTCTGGGCTCTTTGATGCCTCCTTGGCCTTTGTTGGCTTTGGTCGGTTCGAGGCCGTCCCATCCTCCTCAAACAAGGTGCATGGGCTGCCTCCATCATCGTCCTCATCATCCCTATTCTTGAGGACCACGCTGACTACTCTTTCCTGTTGCTTGTAGGTAGAAGGCACTGCAGGAACAGGAGGAGCGTCGTGGGCAACACCAATACCAACACCAAGACCAGTTGCTTGAGAATAAATGCTGGAAGTGCGGTGCGGTGACTGGAAAGGGGAGGTGGTATCTGGTGTGTCTGGGCTCCACACAGATCTCTGTTGTGAGGGAGTCAATGGAGTGACAGTGTCTGCTTTACCCGTCGTGGTAGGCTTGTTGGTATATTTCGGCGGCAGATCATGCGGTGTCTGAATGATGGCTGTTTGGGGGCTGATTTCTCTGTCGGCCATCTCTGACGGCAACGCGATGCCAATGACAATCGGGCGGTCGTTTGGGGATAGGTCCTGCTCCAGGGGGCTGCGGCCAGCGCTTTGAGGAGACTTTGCGTTTGGGTCCGACTTCTTCATCTTCAGCCAGTTCCAATTGCCGACTGACGCGGAGTTAGGTGACCCCTCAAGGGCCCTCAGTGCTGCTGCATCGACAAACTTGGGCTGCTGGAGATCAGGAAGCCGGGTCGGTTGAGCCTGTTGCTGCTGTCGCAACGTTGCCATGTCTGTAACCACCTTGATCCCTGCTTTGGCGTTCTGCGCCTTTTGCCGCTGGCGGGACTTGAGACGCCTCAGCTTCTGGACTGAATACCGTGGCTGTGAATATCTCGTCGAAACCGGTTTGTTTGGTCTCAGGGGACTGGGAGCGGCCGTCTTGTCCATGATGAGCTCTTGGTCATCGTCCATGATTGGGGTGACCACATCTTCATCTTCCCACTCCTCCCAGTCTTCCCTCTCGTTATCATGCCGGTGATCGTATGGCTGCCGTTGAGGCACGGTGGGCCCGTTGGAAGACATGTTGATGTAGGAAGTTCCGAGACTTCAGAACACAACTTTGGAGGGACAATGCGTGTAAATCGACTCCGAAGTAATAAACTGATTCGATGAGGATGCAAAGATTTCGAGCCTCTCAAGAAAATTCCGAATGAGAAAGAATGAACGAATCACCGAAAGGCTTCTCTAGTCGAGGTGGTGTCAAGCTGGAACAAAGGCGTGACTTTGAAAGAGATGCTGGTGGATATTTTGGGGAAGGAAGCAAAGAGGGAAAGAGCGGCAGGTCCAAAGAAAGTGCTACAATGATTGACAACGAACTCTCCCACATGGAATACTCGGCTGTGAGTCGTGAATAGGCGCACAATGAACAACAAAAGGGAAACCGGATAGCCACCCACCGAGGTTCGTTCAACTATGTCTGAAAACACGAAACAAGCAGGAGGGCAATGGCGCGGCAGGAGCAGGTAGCTTCATTATATGACTAGGGCCGAATCACCACGCGGCGGCTTTGAGTTCATGGGTCACGGCCAGGCCTCACGATGTTTGGCTGGACGATGCAGTTCGCAGTATGAGGTAGGCGCCCAGTTGGACATCTCGAGCTTCTGATTGGCCGTGGTGCCGCTGGCCAGCTCTCGGGCCTGCACAGGCAACCGCAACGCTGGCCATTCATTTGGCCGCGGTTACATGGAGGGCAGGACGGCTCTGCGGGATGTAGCGGCATGCAGGACATCCATGAACAGAGTGTTGGCTCATCTCGCGTAGCCGAATCATATCATTCAGTGAACCACGATGAGCCAGATGACTGTGTGTGGTTTGAGTGAGTGAGTTTGGAAGTTGTGGTAGGTGTGGGTGGCTTGAACAAGGTGTGGCTGAAGACTCATACCTACGCCACTCTGGTCTTATTAATAGATTTCCCGCCAGATACTCCGTACAAGTGTAGGTAGATTCACCTTTCACCGAGTCCGTACGCCTGCCGCCGTTAAAGGATCATTTTCCGCACCTAACCTTGCCGAAGAAGTGGAGACCCGAGACAACTGTATACCGCTGCCCGGGCCGGGTTTTGTCAACTCCAAAGCTGGATTGCTCACTTTCTAGCTGATATCTCAAAGTTGAGAACAAGTCAGTGACTGGCTGGCTAGCCATATCGAAACGTTCCAGCTAGCCCGTTTTTCGTTGTGTGTCGAATGTGAGTCTCGCACTATACGCGCTACATTCCGATCTTGTCAAATTGGAATGCTCATACAGGACGTCATAGCAAAATATGCCACACCTGCCAAAGCACTCAGGGTGTTGTCGAGTCCTCCACGAGCCAGCAACGCGTCGGAATGCAGTAAAGCATCGGCATCGGAAGCGATCGAGTCAAGAACTCGGGTATCACGCCTCGCCGGCTGGAACGTCTTCCCGATGCCACGACGTATGCCATTGGTGGGCAGAGGTACAGGTTTTCCTTCCAGCCCGTCATCCTATCTTACAAGTTACGTGTCTGCACGCCAGCCGTCACCCCTCATTTACCATAGCTGTGGGATTTGGTTTTTGTCATGGCTGTGGGATGGAATTACAGGGCCATACAAATCCGGTCTCAGGTCCTGAGCAGGTGGACGATGAGCATTGATTGGGTGAGTGGCTGTGCGGCTAGCTGCCTCGCAATGGACGAGGGAGGGCTCGGGCTTTCTGAATCGAAAACCTTGCCGTTCCAAAGAGCAGGGCGAAAGAGGAGCATTAACATCTTGGGATTATGTATGATTCATACAGTTTTCGTCATCGGCGTGCAACGCCAGTATATGAATGAACTTTGGCGCGGTTGTTTCGGCAGGAGTATTCGTACAAGACGCTGGCTGTGGAGTTGGCATCTTTGCTGTAATGCTGGCGTCACCGAAACACCGCTGTTAATTTAAAAACTGGTCTGGACTTGAGGCGGAAGACGAGAGACAGCTCCACTCGATCTTGAACGCAATCTCCAATCGGGAGGATCAAACATGGCAAGCATCATGTGGTCTAGAATTGTTATACCGCAGCTTGTCGCTCGAAAGTCTGGTTCCGGGGCGGAAACCACTAGATGTAACATGGTGCAATTCTTGCCAATTAGCAAGACGCGCCTCAAGGGCTGAATGACAGGTAGGTACACTACACCACTTGATGCCATGCTGAGCAGCGTCACTCGACATCCACTAGCATCTCATTTCAGCACATGCGAGATCTGTCTGTGTAAGGTATTCAAGGGCCGCATTGAAATGCGTTAAAGTTCATGTCTTGGCTAGAGAGCGTTTTTTGTCACCTCCTTACCTCAGCAAGCTATTCGGTATCCCTGACGATTGCGACAGGTTCGTGAATGCCCTAGATTGTATTCTTTTCCTCCCTTGGCTCAATCTGTACATGTATCAGGTGAACTCAATTCAGGATGATTTATTCATAAACTTTTCTTTTCTTTTCTTCTTTCTTTTTTTGGGCAGATAACATCCATGATTATGACATCGTTCTTATCACGATATTCAGACGATTGATATGTCAATTGCTGCTATCCGGGGTTATTGAGAGGAGAGAGTTTGAGGAGGCTTCGAGCCTATTACTTTAAACAACCAGTCTCAAAGTACACTTGACCTGTCTCACTGCTGCGGCATGAACGTTGTCGCCGTGTGCAAGCTACCCGAGTCAATGCAGGGCCCATGATTTAATGTCAGCGGACCGCTAGAAGCCCTGAAACCTTGGCATCCTGGCACCCAGCAAAGACGTTCCATCTGAAAAAAGATTAGACGCACCGGATTTCTGCATCTATACTGGACTACGGGCGAGAAGGGGTTAGCAATACAAAATTAAGTGCCCCCAGAAGAGAGACTGACGGTGGGATGGACTGGACGGTGGCCAACCGGGATGGACGGCCTCCCTTCAGGTATTATTGCCCAGCTTAAGCCCAGCCCATTCCCTTTGCAGATACGAGACGATCAAAGGAGGAAATCAACAAATAGTCGCACAAAAGGGAAACGGCCCTTTCTTGAATCTTACGAATCAAACATTCCCCTCTGCCAATATCTTGCTCATGTTTGCCTGTGAGATTCGGAATTCCATTGTCGGCCTCCACAGCTTCTGCTTCGTTTGGCCCAGTTGTCATCCGTCATCCCTGCCCCCTACCTAGGTACCTTCACGTACTGTGGTAATCCTGTCTCCGCGTGCTCTTCCCCTCCCTTTCCACCCCACGCCAGTGGCAGCAGGCGGTCAATTCCCGGTCTCTCTTTCCTGCTGCAGCCACCAGCGCCGCGAAGGACCACCCTCGCGAAAAAAAAAAGTGACCCAGCCGGAAGACGACTCTCCTCCACTTCGCCATCCTCCCTAACACTTTTCTATCTGTCTGTCTACTCCGTACACCTGTCCCCGTCGCATCGACACTACTACGGGAGAAGCACCACCGAACCGAGCCACCAATTCCTAACACCTAGGCTCTGGCTGTCTGCCGTCCATAATCCTCCGGGCTTCTACCTTACCAACCAGGTCCTGTATCGACCTGCCCTGCCCACGCAGCAAAACACCTTCCCCTGGCTGGGTTACCTGTACAGCCTCACCCTGAATTCCACGAACCACCAGAAGCCATTCTGCCTATTCCGAAGAGAGAGGGGGACCCCCTTTTTCGGATACATCGACCCCCTTCCCCAACACCTTTAGCGAATACTTCTTCTTGGCTATCGCGTTGTAACCAGACGGCTCGTAAAGTGCCATCTGGTCACAACCCTCGATAATCTTTCATCCTGGATCAATCACAGCAATTCGCCGCCTCTTCGTCCTTCAGCGATCGCAGGCCAGCACGTTCACATCATCGACGCCGCTCCTCTGCATCTGGCGGTCTTGCAGTCAACGTTGACGGCCCAGGCGACCGTGGCTCTCCCCAATTCCTGGGAGTCCACGGCCAGCAGCCTGGTCTTGCGCCAATTCCAGGTACGTCTTGTCCTGCATCATCCTCCCGTCCTTTTCCTCAACTCCTAGTCCGGCCCGTGGTACACCTATTCGCATATGTCTACGTCTTCCAACCCCCCGTATACCGACATGCCACCGATGTGAATACGGGTTGGACAATCGAATGACGGGACCCGCTTGCTGACAGCTCGTGTTCTTTTATCGCTGCAGGCACCCCCAACACCGCAATGTCGCTCTCGCGCAGTCCCTCGCCTATACCTGGAGGCGGTTGGGCCAGCCCTGGCCTGACCATCAACACCAGCGGTCGATCGAGTCCGAGTAGAGGCTTCTCAGCATCCAACGGCGCTTCTACCCCTTGGGAGAGCAAGATGAGGACCGTTGGTATGAACGGATACCCGTCCTTTTCTACCCAGAACCAAGGCTTCTTCACACGACACATGCGCCGGATATCAAGCAGCCTACCGCGGTTCAACAACCAGAGTCCATATGTCGAGAAGGAGAAGGACAAACTGGGGCGAGGATCATGGGCGGCACAGAAGGTTCCCCTCGTGGGAAGGATACGGAACATTTTCGCGCGCATGGGCAGGAAGATGAAGCTGCGCCTGCTGATCCTGCTCCTCTTCACCCTCGCGATGACCATCTTCTACAACACTCGTACGTTCCTCCTCTTGACTCGAGTCTCCTTTCCTCGCTAACCATCTCGCAGCTCTCGTCTACCACTGGCGAAGACACTTTGGTGGAGGCCAAAAGTATGTCATTATCTTGGCCGCCAATATCGGAGGAGGTGTCATGGAGTGGAAGGGGGCCCGTGAATGGGCTATTGAGCGAGACAGTGTACGGAACAAGAAGAAGTACGCCAACCGATGGGGATATGATCTTGAGATCGTAGACATGAGCACCAAGAAGCGATACGCACACGAATGGCGCGAGAGCTGGGAGAAGGTCGACTTTGTGCGCTCCGCCTTCCGCAAGTATCCAAAGGCTGAATGGTATGTCGCAGCGCTCAATTCTCAGCGTGATTGAACTAACAATGGGTTCAGGGTTTGGTGGCTCGACTTGAATACCTACGTCATGGAACTATCTTATCCCTTACAGAACCATATCTTCAACGACATAAGCAAACACGTCTACCGCGACATCAACGAGTACAACCCTCTGAACATTAGCCACCCTTTCACCGATCCTTACCTGGACGAGGAGTCCCGAAGCCCGATTGGCGATGGAAAGGCTGAATCGGTCAACCTGATCCTCTCCCAGGACTGCTCTGGTTTCAACCTCGGCTCCTTCTTCGTAAAGAGAGGCAATTGGGCTGATCGCATGCTGGATGTCTGGTGGGATCCTGTCGCCTACGAGCAGAAGCACATGGAATGGGAACACAAGGAGCAGGACGCTCTGGAGCAGCTCTACAAAACGCAGCCCTGGATCCGCAAACACACGGCCTTCCTCCCTCAGCGCATGATCAACGCTTTTCCGCCAGGCGCTTGCTCCGAGAACGGGAACGACACTCGTATCCACTACGACCAGAAGGACCGAGACTTCCTCGTCAACATGGCCGGCTGCGAATGGGGTCGCGATTGCTGGGGTGAGATGTACAACTACCGCGAGCTCAGCTATTATCTGAACCGCAATCCGTGGGAACGTTTCAAGGAGGATCTCATTGCTGTCATCTGGGAGAAGATCACCGGCCAAAAGGTCAAGCTCTGAGACGGCTGACGATCCACCAAGACACGGCCCTGATACGTCTTTGCGCATCACCGTTGGGCCATCTAATAACGGCTGGTCAACCGTGTTTCACTTCCAACGTCCTGTTTATCAATGGGAATTACCTATCTTGCATACTACACATATACGCATGCGAAGCCCGGGAGCTTGGGGAACCTGACGTCTACACCCCTCATGAGCGGTATGAAAAAAAAACAAGAAGCAGAACCCGTTCACAGCAGCGGTTTCGCGGACCAAGGGATAACATTTCGAAAACGAAGGGCGTTCATAGTTGAAGGCGGTTAGGAGTATTCGGAGGAGACTTTTCTCTCATGTTGAGATGTATAAAAATTCGGGGTGCTGTTCTTGTTTTCCGGCCCCTGAATCTTTTGTTCGTGCTACATTAGACGTTGTACGCCATGGTACTTGCAGAATATGCGTGGAAGTATATGAGGAGCAGGGCCGCCTGAAAGAATTTCTGGCATGAAGAGCCTCCGCCAGCTCCTTAGGAAGCTCCATGACAGGTAGCTTGCATATGGGTGGCGTGATGAATCTATGCCTTGTCTACCTTACGACTTGTACGTGTCTCTTCTACCTATTACATAGCCGATGGTGACTTTCTTGCATGACGATCGACTGTTGTGATGAATGCTTCCTTGGGCTTGGAGATTTATTACCGATATGGTCTGACATTGGTGCCGGACACAATGGTAGCCTTATCGAGGGGGAGCATTGAAAACAAACAAGCTTATCAATGCCGCCCCTGAGGAGAGGTACCGGGGATGGGCTAGGTGGCGATGGCAGGCTGTTCCTTGCACGAGGATGGGGATTAACGGCCAGGATTAGTTAAGAGGGAGCAGATATTCCGCCTCTCTCAAAGTACTGGCCGGCAACGAGTACTTTGTTCGCAATCTTCTTTTGCCAAATCCTAGTGTGTGTCTAAGGAAGAAGCTCGATTCAAAATCGAGTGAGAGAACGATTGAAATTCGGGGAGGAAGTCAAGCTGTGAAAGGAACACACTTTTGCTGGGCCATCGCGAGCATGGATCGTTGCCACCGGACTCTGACCACCGTATTAGCAAGATGGCAAACAAAAACACGACAACTTGATTCCACAGCGAGTTATGAAGCGGAGCGCTTGCGCCATTTCCAACATGCGTTGTGAACAACACCGGGACTTTCAAGATGTGGGAACAGGTACATGTCGATTTGGACTCGAGAGATAATAAGCATTGTGGCAGCTGCAAAGTGGCTCGCCAGCGACGTTTCCTTCGGCACTGAGACTTTGTCGAGGCGTGTCGGGGGGCGGCTAACGGGTGGCGCGGCGGTGATGCGGGTGCCCCGGTTCCACTCCGGGAGCGACTCTTTGCCGCCGGGACGTGATCAGCCTACAAAGGATGGAAGGTTCCCTTTCGCCTCTTATCAGGTACCTTACCTTAAGTGGCGGCGGTCTGGGTATCAACTTTTTTTGTTGCATTGTTTTTTCTGCGGAAGAATTGCTGCTTCGGTGCGTGCTTTGAGATAGCCCACTGGAAGAACCAAGAGTATGAAGCAACGATCAAAAAGAAACCAAATAAACAAATGGTGACTCTGAGGGTAAACACGTGTCAATCCGTCTCCATGACTGACTGACTCCTTTGCCAACTCATTGGATTACCCGCAATCGCGCCGTCCTTTTCGTCTTGATTCGAGCAGATGGCGGCAGCAGTCAGGGCTCGGTACTTACGAACACAGGGGCACCGTCCAGTGCTTCTGGGGACGGGGAGATGTGGACTCTGCGAGTTCCGAATATATTGATCTGCCCGCGCCGGCTGTTCGGGATGGCGACAGCTTGTTTTCTTCGGGGCGATCGTCGCGTCCCCTGCTTCTAGAACCCCCCTGGAAATGTGGAGGGAGGGCCCTCGAAGGGGTACTGGTACTCTGGAGCTTTGGGATATTTTTTTTTTGGCCTCAGCAATCATTCATTTTTCCCTATCCCGACACTGATCGCGTTGCTTGCATGGAAAATGCGTCTGTAGCTTCGTACTTATCCCAACATTGCGGTCGCAAATCCCATGGCTGTGAGAGAGAATGCGACGTTTACTTGTGAGACAGAGTGGCGCGTTGAGCAGATGAGGGATATCAATGGGGATGGATATCCACCTTTTTGCAATGGCAAAAGATTTGTTTCCCATCCACCGTGCCATCTTCTCTGCATGGCCGCTTTGCCACGGGCGCACGGCACAAGTGGTGAATGGGGAACGGGGAAGGGATCGATCTTCAACGAAGCGCGTGTTTCGTCCCAACTACAGTAAGATCGCACGCAGATGGTTCCCCCCGAAAAGGAGGAGACAAAAGCCCTTGAAGGACGAAGAGGGGGTTCATGAGGAGAAAACGGGTATCGGCAAAAAAGGGTTGAGTAGTATTCGTAGAACAGTACCACATGCGTGCGTATATGTGTACGTACTATATGTGTGTAAGTGTGTCTGAGAAGCATGAACTCTTCTCTTTTTGCGCTTTTCCCAATGTGCTGTGACGATGCGATGCAGGCGGTTTCGTCAGCGGCTAATATGAGCCCCGGCGTCTCGTGGGCAAGGGTGCCGAGGGATATTTAGGTACTACGATGGTTGACACCTCGAAGAAGCAAAAAAAAAAACCTGAAGACTATTAAAAGATAACAAAGGACAAGAAATAATCAGTCGGTCTAAATGTCTCATAATGTGGATCTTGGCGCCACCGCGCGTGCCCTGTTGTTCGAGGCGGCTCGAGGCTCGAACATTCCTGAGTGAGGCTGATGCGATGAGAGTAGGATCTGTAGGACTACGGTTTGCACGAAACTCATGAAAGTTGAGTCGAGTCCGAGGCTGAGTCTCATGGATTGGATTGAGTCCGTGTGACGAGAGAGAGTTGTTTGGTTTGAATAGAATCGGGGGAAATATGCTTGTGCGCAATGCTACGTGAGTGCGTGGCAAAGTGAGTGAGGTGAGTGGGTGAGTAGCCAAGGTGAGTGAGGTGAGTGAGAGTGTGTGTGATGTATCATGATGTGTGAGTGCGGTTGGGCAGATGTTTCAATTCAGCCTGTCTACAGTCTTGTCAGACTGTCCCCCTCGTGCGGCGTGCCCCTCCATCTGCCTCCCTCTTGCGAGTCCCGTCTTCTGGGTATGCCAATGTGTTCTGCAAATGTTTCAACCTCCCAAGCCCCTCGAGGGAACGTCGAACCCCACCAACCCACGAGCGACAGAGCCGATGCAGGGGCCGACGAAGTCAGGTCTCTAGCGCCCTCTCCTTTCTTGTCAGGGGGAAAAGGTTGCGTTAGTCTGAGGGAGTGACAGACAGCTGCGGGCGACTCTCGCTTACTCTGTCAGTCTGTCAGCGACTCAGCGCAATACCTAAGTTCACTTGAGCCTTGACTGCCGTCGCCTCTGCAGCAGCGTTCATCTGGTACCTTATCTTTGCCCCAGTCTGGGAAAGAAAGATACATGGATCAGAGCTAGAGCACCCACAGAAGCAGGGGGAGCACGGTGATGTACCATGGTAGCAGAGGTCTTCAGAGCCACTAAAGAAGAAAAGACTGGGAAAGAGAGCCGCCGCCGCTAAGGCGAGTGGGTGCCGCGTGCTCCAGACTGACGGGCCCCGCCGGCGCGGGAGCGAGACGATTGGACGTCCGTCCGCCCGCCCCTGGCATGGGGGGCCCGAGTTTCAGAGACGACCAACACCACACACCTTCACAACCGCCCACCCACCACAACCTAACGCCCGACTCCACGTCTAGAATCTTTGACATCCAACCCGACCTTCAAACGTCTTTCCATTTGCGGTCCTGTCTGTCTTTCGTCCTCCCTTGCTCTCGACCGTTCGTTGGCTGGCCCTTCTCCCCTGAGTAACTTCCTCTCCCCCCTAAGTTGTTTCCTTTTTACTCTCCCGTCCCATCTTGGAACCATGCAAGCCCCCTATACTCGTGCTATAGCCTATAGGGTACTAACGTGAAGGCAAAGCACCCATTGACGATCACCCTCTTTTTGCCCCTACCCGTTGAATCTACATGATGATCCCCCGGTCCCCAGTTTCTTCTTTCAAAAAGCACGCACAAACCCACCCTGCTCGCGCTGACTGCCACCTTCGACTTGGCTCTCGCCTCGGCAGAGCAGGCGACTCGCATGCTCCATGTACAGCACCCACCACACATATAACTTCTTCGGCACGGGAAAAGAACGAAACGGGCTGGACCCTCCCCTATCATCCCGTCTTCGCTTTATGGATCTCCCCCGGGGGCTCCCCTGGTAATTCTGTCAAGCCTTGGCGGGTAAACATATTGAAACAAGGACCTGTCGTTCGTTGGAAAGTGAACCCTCGAGCACACACTCGGCGCAACGCAACCACATACATGGAGACGTGGGGCAAGGACCCCCGGGAGTTGGGCCGAGATGGCATATAGACTGAGAAAGAGATGGGAGGCCAGGAAGGGAAAAAAAGTCTCACCATGGTTCCCAAAACCACCCTTACCCTTTGTGCGGCGTGTACGTGGCCTGGCCTCGGGTACCTAGAACTCGGTAGAACAGACGAGAGATGGAGAGATCAGATAGGTCACCTTTCATGATCCCCAAATGTTGTCCGGTGGCCGGGGTGCTTGCTCACCTTGTCACCCTCCCCACACTACCAGTCTACACCACAGGAAACCTCGAGCCGTATTTAGCTGGCTGCATTCCCCAATGTGGTTGAGGCTCATGAGTCCGTGATGTGTCGTGCTTAAACACTCAAGGACTCTGTTCAGCCTCCTTCAGACGTTTTTTCTTCGTCTTCTCTTCTCTTCTTACAGCCCCCTCGAGGCACTCATTCTCTTCTCTCATTCTCTCTCATCAGCCACCCAGGAGGCAGGCAACAGCCGTTTCAATCCTTTTCCGGCTGAAGTTATCGTCATCACCAGAGGTTTCACTCCTTCTTACAACCCTCTGACTCTTTTTTTGGTCCCATTCACCTTGCCTCATCTGGTCACCTTTCTTGCCAAGCGCAACGACACAAGTCCACCGGTCTCACTCACCGCGTCAGTCAGATCTTTTGAGCAAAATCAGGGTCCAGAGCGAGCAAACCAACCACGCTGTGCGTCATTGTCCATCTCACCATCACCGAGTCGACACGAGTCTCTTGGGAGTTTTCTTTCTTGCCCACCCTTTGAAGCTGAGGCCACCGAGATCCTCTCTCCTCAACACCCCACTACCAAGAGCTCCCAGCCGCATCGTGTGTGTCTCTCTACCCTTGGGTTTCCACTCCTTTGGACTATTGGAAAGGAAAAAACGGTTCAGATTCCTCAGAGGCCTTGGACCACCCCTCTTTTCTCCCTTTCTTGAAGGCTTGCCCAGACTTGGACGACGCAACACACCACACACACACGAGAAACTTCTCTCCTACCAACCACCTACAGTGACCGGCTCACTCCAGAACATACGACGACATTCATTTTCTTCCTACTTCACTTCATTCATCTTTTAGATGACCCTTTGACTCTCCCTGATCCCTTTTTTGATTCATATTCTTCAGACATCTTATCCTCCTTTTGTGGCTCTCATCGACCCTCATCCCAGCACTCGACTACCTACCTCATCCAGCCCGGCAGAGTTAAACCGAAAGGATACAAGCCAAACAGAACCCCGAAGAGGAACATTTCTCAAAAAGGTCTCAAACCCCTCCTTTCTTCCCTTTTCATCAGACAAGAAGGATCTCGATCTCGAGAGAATATCCTCAGCCATGCCTTCTCAGAGCATCAAGACGGTACTGGTGGGCGCCGCCGCCCTCCTCCTCTGCTGCCACACCGGGCCGGCCCAGGCACAGCAGCAGAAGTACGTCCCGCACGACAACTACGACAGCTCAAACTTCTTCAACGAGTTTAGCTTTTTCGACCAGCCAGACCCGACCAAGGGCTCGCAGATCTACACGAGCGCCGTGACGGCCAACAACAGCGGCCTCGCGGGCTACGCCCGGGGTGGCATCTACCTCGGTGTCGACTCGAAGACCAAGGGCCAGGGACGCCAGTCGGTGAGGGTCACGTCGAACAAGGCATTTGACACGGGCTTGTTCGTCGCTGATATCCAGCACATGCCTACTAGCAGTTGCGGTGTCTGGCCCGCCTTTTGGATGTTTGGTCCCAACTGGTAAGTTTGCCTTTGTATGAGTGCTTCATGAGTACTCCATGAGCCGTGGTGACGATATGTAATGGTTTACTGACATAGTTTACAGGCCCAACTCGGGTGAGATTGACATCATTGAGGGAGTCAACACGCAAGAGTCCAATGCCGTGACCCTCCACACGGGACCCGGTTGCAGCATCACCAACGACGGCACAATCTCCTCCACAACCCTCAAGGAAAAGGACTGCAACGCCGGCAGCGCCTCCACGGGCTGCGGCCAGTCGACCTCGAGCAACCAAAACTACGGCGACGGCTTCAACGCGATCGGCGGCGGCGTCTACGCCGTCGACTTCAACTCCCAGGCAATTTCGGTCTGGTTCTTCCCGCGCAGCGCCATCCCCGGCGACGTCAGCTCGGGCAACCCGGTTCCTTCCTCCTGGGGCCAGCCCCTGGCCAAGTTCAACGGCGGTTCCGGGTGCGACATCTCCTCGCACTTTAAGCAGCAGAACCTCGTCTTCAACACGGCCCTGTGCGGCGACTGGGCCGGCAAAGTATGGGAGCAGAACGCCGAGTGCACGGCGCTCGCGCCCCAGTGCTCCGACTACGTCGCGGCCAACCCGCAGGCCTTCACCGAGGCGTTTTGGCTCATCAACTCGGTCAAGGTTTACCAGGCTGACGGCGGCGCGTCGGCTGCCGCTGCTTCGGTTGCTCCCAGCGCGGCTGCTGCTGGCATTCCGACGGCGCTGCCTTCAGCACCGATTCCTGGCGTCTCGGCCATTCCTGGAGCAACTGGTTACTGAACTGAGCTACTCTTTTCCAAGAGCAAAGAGACACGAGATGCAGAATGGGGGTGGTAGGACTCATTTGACTCATTTGGAGTGAACGTTATACAGGTCTAGACTCAGGTGGTGGACGCAAGTACAAAGGCGTTTGGAGGCTGGTTTCTGTCATGGTCCCTTTTTGACGACATTTACGACACACTGTTTTCACTTCTTCTTCATCTACTGGATAGATGACCCCTTTTGAAACCTTTTTCTTTTCTTTTTCGAGGCATGATGGGAAGACATGGCGTTAGAGGGAGGAGATGGCTCCTTGGTACACGCATATACCTAGCTTTCGTTTTTCACACGTGGGTATCATCAGTAGATACCCCCGAATCAGACTTGTTGAACTGTTAAACTCTTTCTCCGTCTTTCTGGAACATGACAGCTGCCCTGGTCGTCGATTGAGTTCTGCATTGAGCGGGAAAACAGTGCTTGTTTCGCCAAGAAGCGCTCTACTCATGATGCAATTGAACCCCAGGCTCAAGCACCGTAATGTTGAGGCTGAGTCATGTCTAGAAACGATTCACTGACAAGTCAAGTAAAAAGGTTGAAAAGAAAAAAGACTTTTCAACGTCGTCGATCCAAACGCGGTCGTTAGAGATCTGACGGCCGTAAAAAGGGGAGGGGGGCTCTCGACTCAGTCGTTCGCATATAGTGCCGCCCGCCATCCGGAACAAGGTTCACTTGACGTCCCGATATGAGATGTCGTCTAACTTTGTAAAAGGTCGACGGCTAACAAGAGACGGCCATTGCTGTTGGTGTCTGCAAGGGAGCAAGGCTTTCGGCAGGTGGTGCCGAAATTATTAGATTTCATCGGGAGGGTCAACGTCCGATCTCCTGAGGCGGGGGTTGCATGAAAGTGGCAGAGCCCAATACTAGGTAGGGCCAAGGCTCGAAACACGCTCACAGGATTCCGTCAATATGGGTGACTGCGACTGCTTCGACCTCTTTTTTTTTTTGAGGCTACTGCAGCCGAGGAAAGGGGTAGTGTTCGAAGATGTCAGGTGGCACGGGGGATCTCGAAGCTTGAGTCGGACGCAACTTCTACTGGAGACTGAAGACTTCTCGTCATGTGGCTCTTACTTACTGTGTAAGGTAGGCTGCGAGCGAGTGATGGCGTCCCATGTGTTGCCTCTTTCGCGGATCTGGTCATCCGAAGAAAGTAATATGGGCTAGGAGTTGGGACTAATGGCGAAGCAATGAGGCTCATGGGGCGCCAAATGGCCAAGACGGGAACGACTCCGGGATCGCTTCTGGGCAGAATGTTGACGGGGGAAGTTTTAAGATGTTAAAGAAGTGGGAATAGAGACTCAAGAGAGTGACGGAAAAGTGGCCGTACCTTGCACTTTGCACCATCTGGTCGTTCCATCCCACCCGTTCCCATGAGCCTACCGGTGGCAGCCGCCCCACATTGTCCAGACAGGCAGGTAGCGATGGCCCGATCGGGTTTAGCTGCCATGGGTATGAGGCAGATCCACCATGATCTTCGACAGACTTCAAACTCGCAACAGCCACAAGGCCAAAACCTCCAACACACACACGAGAAGATGGAAGAGCCTGTTCGGTAGCCGACGGTTCGAATTGGCAGAACTTGCGCAGGTAACAAGTTACAAGTATGTAACGGCGGCATATGATTGGATCGTGGCTCGCCGAGAGAACAATCGACGTTGCTCGTCGATCCGCTACTTGGCAAAGAAGCTTGTCTCCTCGATGGAGTCCATCAGGGGTCGAACCTGGCTTTGGCTGGTCTTGTTGATGCAACCGCCCAACCCTTATGTTGCAGCCAGGCTCGGATGAGACGCCCATGAGCCATCACGGGCTTGTGATGCTGGTTCGGACGACTCAGGAGCAGGGCATCATCTATGGGGTTGTTTTGTGACGGATGTGAGATGAGGTGCCCTGTCAGACAGACGAAAAAAGAGTCGCCCGTCGAGCCACGAAGAGGTCAGAGGGAGGCCGCGGGGCCCACGGGCACAACCTTGCGTGTGGTTAGGATGGAGGAGACGAACATGAATAGACTGTGGTACTATAGGGAGTTTTGGTATAAGATCCTCCCGCTGCCCCGACCATCTACTGCCTCCTTCTTTTGCTCCTCTTATTATCAGCAATACATCAAACTCCATAATCAACCTTCCTCTCATTCATCACAGCAGCGCTGTTCCGTTCACTCTTTGCCGGACAATATCTTTATAACTGTAAATATTACTAGTACCAAACTATCCACGCCTTTCGACAACCTTCGAACAACATGTACTTCTCCAAGATCGCCGTTCTCTTCGCCCTGGCCGCTACTGGTCTCTCCGCACCCATTGAGGGAGCTGAAAAGCGCCAGGCCAAGCTTCTTTCCGTTCAGGACTACTCTCAGTTCCAAGTCTCTGACGGCACCGCTGGCAACGCTCTTGCTGAGGTTGCCCAGAAGTTCCCCGTAAGCTACCATCACACGCTTCCACTCGCGAGACGACGACGCTAACCGCTCCATTAGGTTGCTCAGATCAAGGCTGACCTTGCTGGAGTCAGCAAGGATGACTTGGCCATTCTCCAGGCGGCCCGCGTCGCCGCAGAGGGTGCCGAGACCGACGCCGGCGGTTTCAACGACGCCATTGCCAAGGCGTCCGGAGCCGATGCCGATGCCCTGAAGGTCGGCAAGATCAAGAACAAGGTGCTCAAGCTCCAGCTCGAGGTTCTCGCTCTCCAGGTGCAGCAAGCACAGGGCGCCAGCAACCAGGCCAAGATCGACGCCGAGCAGAAGAAGCTCGACAACAACGTCAAGACCGACACGGCCTCCAAGGGCAAGACCAGCCAGAGCGTCTCGTTCAGCGCCACCTCCGCGCCCAAGGGCAAGAAGAACTAGAGTTGTGAACTGCTTGCCATGATAGGCATGGTCGGTGTTAGAGAGCAACTTGAGAGTCGTTTGGCGTTATCCTCGTCTTGGTCATGATTGGGGTTGGAGGACATGGGACACGAAACATTGGCGATGGGAGTTTGCGCGCTGGGGAGCCAAATTTCTGATTTAATTCGTTGACTAAATAATTCAGATGATGTTGAGAGAGATGTGAAAATGAGAAACAATTATTGAGTTGGGTATTTCACAAAGCTATACCTTCTTTGACATCTGCTCGCAAAGTCGCACTGTTCTTTCCGCCTGGCGGAAAGCGCACAGAAACTGTGTCCGGCGGTCGTCTGCACTGTACTTAGGCTCCAATGCGTCTCCAAACTTACCTCGCCTCACTCACCTACTCTCACCTTCCTCTTACACTGAAACATCAGCAACCATCCAATCTCATCAACCTGTCACTTGCAAAATCCAAATTCCCATCTATACTCATTCAGGAGCAAGACTTACGCAGCTTTTTATGAATGATAAGTACTATTTTGCTTCTTGATCAACTGGACGCACTACGGTGGCCTGTTATCACGCTTGATGGCGTCACCATCGAGTTTCATTCCATTAGGAAGCCTTATCATCACGCGGGAAAACACTGAGCTTACAGCTGAAGAGTGGAAGCTGTTGGAGAAGAGATTCGGAAGATGGGGCATCATTGCGCCGACGAAACCTGCCAAAGGCGTCAGAGCCCCCAAGCCATTTGATCACGTAGAGGATACCTTCCTCTTGTCTGCGGCTTTCAAGAGCTACAAGAACCTGGTGGTCGAAGGATGGATCCGAGTCCATCTACTCATTCGCCCGGAGAGTGAGGAACGCGGAACTGCAAGAATTTATGTCTTGCCTGACGACGTCGACAATAAGGCCATCGACCGAGACCGCACTAAGCTAAGAAGATCACGCAGAGCGCTCATTGCCCAACTCGACTTTTCTCAAGAGGCCTGGTCTGGCCAGCCCACTTCGACTCCAACCACACTCGAACATGTCTTCAGAGATGAAAAAGACTCCCATGACTCAGCCTCGTTGCTCCAGATGTTCAACAGCATTCCTTCCCCGGACCCGGCGCCCCATGCTGTCACCAATCCATTTGAACAAGATGCCATTTACAACGTACTCGAAGGCAACCTGCCTGGTCTGAATGATACGTCGAAGCTTTATGACTACCAGCGTCGCTCAGCTGCGGTCATGATTCAGCGCGAAAGTGAACCTGGCCAGTTCCTGGATCCAAGAATTGCCAAAGGAATCGACCAAAATGGTGCAGCCTACTACTACGATACTAGCTCCGGAGCCCTCGTCAAGGAACCAAGGTTCTACGATGGTGTCAGAGGCGGTATATTGGCCGAGCAGATGGGCGCAGGCAAGACCCTGATCTGTCTGGCCGTCATCTTGGCGACTCGACATTTGTCCTCCCGCACCCCCGATATTTACCAAGGGAGCGACGTGCGCGTAAGGAGGAAGATTGGATCACTCGCTGACATGGCAGCCTCGAATGCCAACATCAAAGGAGCTCCTTGGAAGATCTTCTTCAACGTCTATGATGCGAACCAAGAGCTGGAGTACGACAAGTGCATAGCAGCAATCCGCCGCAACCCCAGCCGCTACCACGTCCCCGAGGAGCCTCCCAAGCGCCTTCGGCGGCATGAAAATTCTATTGGTAACCCGGCAAAGAAAGTCCGACACACTCATGCATCCATAGTGATCGTCCCCAACAACCTTGTTCAACAATGGATTCAGGAAATCGAAAAGCACATCGTCCACCCAGGAAACCCGGCGGGTCTTAAGGTCCTGAAGCTAACTAGCCAGAAGGAGGAAATTCCCAACTCTCAAGTCCTCGCAGCATATGACCTCGTCCTCATTACCCAGTCACGGCTCGATAGGGTATGGAGAGAAACTATGATGATGGGGTGTCCACTGGCAGAAGTCCACTTCAAGCGCTGTATAGTCGACGAAGGGCACAAGATAGGCTACGCGAAGATAAACAACAAGAGCAATGTCCTCCTGGCTATTGACGCACTTCACATCTCTGCTCGCTGGATTGTGACCGGCACGCCAGCCACTGGCTTATTCGGTGTAGACGACCAACACTTCAACGATACCCATCCCGACGACAAAAATAATACCGACAAGGCGGCAGCCCTCGCCGAGGCGGAAAAGGGAGATCTGGAGAAGATTGGCGCGATAGCATCGCTGTACCTCAATGCTCGACCTTGGTCCAATAGCGTACACGAAACAGGAGATACGACGGCAGATTGGGCAGTGTACGTGATGCAGCCGAAGCATAGCTCCCGGTCGACCGGCCGCATGGGGGTGCTGCGCGCTACACTGAACTCTCTCATCGTCAGGCATCGACTGTCGGAGCTTAACACCCTGCTTCCATCAGTCAACGAGAACGTTATTGTATTGGAAGGTTCATACCAAGACAAGTTGTCGCTTAACATCTTCTCGATGATGATCATCTTCAACGCCGTCCAGTCTCAAAGAGTTGACATGGATTACTTCTTCCACGCTCGTCAACGCAAGGCTCTGCTCCAGTTGGTTCACAACTTGAAGCAATCCAGTTTCTTCGGTGGTGTCTTCTTCGCTAAGGACGATATACTCAAGGCACTCGAAACTGCAGAGACTTTCCTCCAAGAGAAAAAGGTTCTCATCAGCGAGAAAGACGAAGCTCTTCTGAAACAGGCCGTTGAAGTTGCCCACGTTGCCATCGAAAACCAACTCAAAGACTTCAGCAACAAGTATAACGAGGTCCCCATCTTCATCCGCGACTTTCTCCCCAATGGCGTGGGCTCTGCCTGGTCCCTCGACGATCGAGACGCTAATCCTACTTGTACCGATGCTGGCATGGTACTTACCGCGCAGAAGCTGATCGCCTCTGCCATGGGTAAGCCCACGAAGCTGAATAGTCTACTCAACGGTCAACTGGAATTTGAGGGTCGTAAAGAGCAAGCCGATCAGATCATGTCCGGGGCACAGGGTGTCGCAGTTGACCACCGGCCGTCAAAGTCTCCAGGGGTTCTCGCTGGCAATACGAGACTGGGAGGTGAACGGGTTGCTCGACACCTGAAGTCTACTGCCTCGAAGCCCGCTGAGCCCGTGCCCGAGCTGGAGCAACTTCCAGACGATCTGAAGAAGGCGATGCTGGTTTCCACCGTGTCAGCAAAGCTCTCATACCTTATCGACGCTGTGGTCGAGCACCAAGAAAAAGAGAAGATGATCATCTTCTACGAGAATGAGAATGTGGCATGGTATCTGGCGGGTCTTCTTGAAGTAGTGAGTTTGAGCATTTCGACGACAGGTGATTCCGAATTAACATTGTGATCCAGATTCACGTGCGTCACCTGATTTATGCCAGCAAGCTCACGTATGCCCGGAAGATGGAGTACGTGGATACTTTCAATAACAACCCTACGATCAGGTTCGTTTTCAGTGGACTCTCGTTTTTTTGCGTATGCTAAGAAAATATCCAGGGTCATTCTCATGGACTTGTCGCAGGCCGCTATTGGTCTCGACATGAGGGCTGCCTCGCGAATCTACTTTATCAACCCCGTTCTGAACCCCCAGATCCAAGCCCAAGCCATTGGCAGAGCCCGGCGCATCAGTCAGCAGAAACCCGTGACGGTCGAGACGCTCGTCCTCCGGGACAGCATCGAAGAAGTCATCATGGAGCGCAAGAAGACCATGTCGCAGTTTGAGCATTGGAAGTGCAAGTCCATCATAGACGACCAACCCATCTACAACTGGATCTTGAACGTCGGCATTATACCTCTTCCAAAGGACCAGAAAGCTTACTTGGCGCAGGCCATTCCGCTGAAGCGCCCTCAGCCAATCTTTGGCAGCAGTTTTGCTGGCGGTCAGTCTTCGGAAGAGGATACTCTGGCAAATGGCACGGAGATGAAGTCGACGGTGGTCAAGGATGAGTTGGCAAATGGTACAAACATGGGCGGTCTTAAGCGCCCGCGTAGTTCCAAACCTGAAGGCAACGGAGACCTGGGAGGGGAACCTGCCAGACCTGTGCGCCGCCTGCGCTTCTCTGCAGAGGACAAGGAAATGAGCGATGAACAGTCCCCGCCAAAAGTGCGATTTTCATAGCACTTTTCTAGAGTTCAGGGTGAACTCAGCATGGCGAGTGAAATTTGGGCGTGTGGCCCGGATATCGTGCGGTACTTTTAGGTGGCTGCTTTCTACGACGGGTGAGGTTTGTTGGATTATGTTTGTATAGCGCTCTCGAGATACCAACTAAGCTGCACATGGATGCAGCAGCAATAAGAATCGTTTCTACTATCACTGTTTGAAGATTCTCTTACTTTGCGCAATTAACCTTTTGTTAGTGATACCTTGGTCAGAGTCATTCCTCATCGGTTCGCATGAGAACCGAGTTCAACATCAAGTGCAGTAAACGCTGTTGCCGGAGGAACGCGAGGTATTTCTAACAACATCACGACACACTGTTTTTGTTTCTCGGCGCAACATCATGTTGTTGCCGGTGTTGTTGCCAAGCGAACTTCTTCAGTCCGAGAGGCGGCGGCCCCTCTGAAAGGACCTATTCATAGTGATAGTGCAGACAGGTGCCGAAGTCCGAGGCCGGCCCGGGACGGGGACCAACGGGGAAATGCATTAGCTATTTGCTCTCTCTTGAGCCTCTACTCACCTTGAACGGAGACGCTTCGTGCAAAAGTTGCGTCGGTTGTTTTATGTTTGTACTACCCTCTCTAGCTGACAGCGGAACCCGGTCCACGGCAAGACTCTGTAGCGCGGCCGCTTCGACCGAGGGACTGGGAAAGGCCAAGCGAGATAACCTCGTGGGTTTTGGGACTGGGTTCAGACGTTTTTCGTGTGGTGCACGGAGGATGAGAACAGACGAGTGAACAGACACTCGAGGCATGGCTAAGTCACGGATGAGGGGACGTGTGTAATGTGAGGTTCAACGACCAACGTATGATAAACAAAAGAAAGGACCGGCACAAGAGATTGCATCGCTTGGGGGTTTCCCCCCCCTTTCGCCCAGGCGGCTGTGGGATGCCGTATGTTGGCTATTCACATGTCATGTCCTTCTTGTTTCTTGGAAAAACAAAACCGGTAACTCCGTGGCTTGGATCTTGCGGATACGTAAGCCCAACAAAGGAACCGTTAGGACGGATGACAACGGGCACGAAACGATGATGCAATGCGGAGGTCTCGGCAAGAAGGTTTCGATGGAGATCGTGGACCCATTTTGTACATACACAGTAAGGTAAGGTGCGATCCACAGGATGCAATATGGAAGGAAAAAAGAGGCTGGGGATGATACCTGCACTTTTGGATGACACAGACGCTGGGGATTTGGGGAAGGAAGGGACCCAGACAAACCCCCATGTTCGAAACGATTTTGTCTCTCCACTCCGTGCCTGCCCGTCGAGCACAGAGAGAAGAAAGGAAGGGAAGGAAGGAAAAAAAAAACCCCCATGGCATGACATGACATGACGCCTTCCAAGTTCCGTGAAACTGTCAACCTTTACCCGAGCATGGCAACGGAAGGCAAGAACGACAAGCTAGGTAAGGCAAGCAAGGCTCAGGCCGAGGAAGAAACAGAGGGAGGCGTTTCTCTGCCCATCCTGTCCGCTTCAGTTGAACCGACGATGCACATCTACCAAGAGAGCCTCGAACTTGCATCAGTTTCGACAAACCGCCGCGCAATCGTGGAGACCTCTGAACAGCTTGACGCAGGTGACTTGACTCGTTTCACGATTTTCACCTCCCTACAATGATCATTGTCGATAACGAACCAACGATGAATGCTCCTTTCAACTCCTTCGCCCCCTGTTTCCTCCCCAAATTCCAGAGGTTGGGTGGTTCGTCTGAGGTTAGCCGCTAAAAGCCCACCTCAAACTAAGACAGAAAGCAGCAGGGACGCCCGTTGAAACCGATTCTCACCACGGCAACGAGCTTACCCGAACGAGTTACCTTGCTCCGATCTCTCGGGACTATCCATTCTCGCGTTCTTTTGCATCGCTCCACGGCCTCTGCGAATACAGCAAGATGTCCTCGAGGCTCAAGGAATGCAATAGAAGGTTATATGGATATCCGTGAACAATAAGAACACTTAGGCACTATAGTCACTGTGTCCACGAACCACACAAGCTATCGAAGCGGGATGTGACGATCGATACCTACCCAGCTATGAAGCAGGCCAGTCGTCGCAGGCCACACGGCACGGGAATGCAGACGCGGAAGCGGCAACGGGATGCGCGTAAGACGTCCAGCCCAGATTGACGAGGCGACTTTGATGCGACCTCAGCACGCGCTATGGCGCCTGGGGGTTCACAGTATCACAGGGCTCTGGTGTTGGTGCAAGCAAAAGCTGGAGCCTGGCAGAGCTGGATGCTGGGAAAATGGAGCCCCTTGACTAGGTATTGCGCTTTCGGTGTGTCGGCCTTGGAGATGGGATTTCCAGGATAAGTGAGTTTTGTCCCACTTCAACTTCCTGGTTTTCTGTTCCTGTTCCTGGATCAGTGCTGCGGCCAAGGTACACAAAGGCCGTTGTCTATCTGAACGGCTGCAGCTTGCAGGTTCCAGCCCCGTCTGTGCCAAAGAAAACTTGCGTGGTCAGAAGAGTCCCGTCATGGCTAGCTGCATCAAACACCCCTCCCTCATCGACTTTCCATCTGGTCTGCGCTGCAGGGCGAAACGGGACTGCTAGTTGGCCCCAGCCCAGCCTCCCGCCGACACGCCACTGACCGAACTGATGTGATGGTCCGGACGAAACGAGGTCAGAATGATGAGACGAGGTGGTTCAGAGGGAGGATCAAGAGCTACGCATACAGGATCTATTTGCCCGAGGTGGACGCCAGGCTCGTTCACCCTGCCTCGGTGGCCTGTCCCTGTCTTCCTCCCTCTGAGTCGACGAGTCAATTATCAGCCAGTGTGTTTTGGGCAGTGAGATGTGCGCAACTCTGAATGGACTGGCTGTGCAGCATCAACATCGCACATGATGATACGGATATTACTGGATGTCGGCACGGTTCGTCGCAACCCCGCGAAACAGAGCCAGGGCAAGATGCCATATGCCTTGGCTTCCTCCGGGCCGCTCATTCGTCGCCTTCGGTAGTCGTCGTGGCTGGTCTCCCGCTCCGCCACTCAGGGAATGGCCTGGAGCTTGAGTGAGAGCTCCAGAACATCACCAACCCTGTCGGGCTGTTAACCTTGTTTTTCCCAGGCAGCGGGTACAAGTAATCCACGCCAGAAATGTGGGTGCTTCCATTGTATTGAGTCGAGTGCCTGGCAGCTGCGAGTCGCTGCGACCCATCGTCGATTGCCTGGAGCTGGAGGCGCGAGACAAGCTAGACGAGGGGGATAGAGGGGTTAGATTACCCACATTCCAATCATTCATGCGACTAAGGCACCTCCCAGCCGCTGCAGTGCAGAATGTTGCCGCCATATTGCGTTGCTTTGCGCAGCTCTAGTAAGGGCTTTTGGGAGTGGAAGGACCGGGAGTGCGTGAGCGCCGAGCAGGGCTCTGACTTTTTGTCTTGGGACCACGAGGTCCAGATCCCAGGCCGCAGACCGCGATTTGATGGGATATTTCGAGCGTGAGATGGGGTTCTTGAGTTCAAATATAATGCACCCATATGCATGAAGGCTGCAATCTGGAAGGCCCTCGCCCTCTTGCTTCCCTCGTCTTCTCATCTTTCCCCTTTCCACCCTCGTTTCGTTGGTATTGACAGGTTATAGTTGTTGGCTCTTATTGTTCGGTCTCTACTCCCCCTCGTCTCCCCTTTCCGGCTCATCCATCATCGCAAGTTCGCAACAGCATCCTACTCTTGATGATGCTCTTGGGTTGGCTGAAGCGGGTCGGCTACTGAATTGAAAACCCACCCTCGCAACAACGGCAACTGGCCAAGCTATCCCCACGTCCGGTATATTAAAATTACGGCACAACGACCTCATGAAGGCCAAGGTTGCAACCCCCTTTTGTCCGTTGAAATAAAAGGTGTGGCCTCGTCGTTCAGCCCAACTTTGGTGGTAGGACTGCGGCTGAGAGGAAGAGAGCGCAAAGAGTCGGTAAGAGCAGCAGCATCAGCATCAGCAGCAGCAACACGACGGAACTCATCGAGGTTTGGACGGCACGTGGAACGGTCCGAAAGAGACGAACGAGACGACAGAGAACAAGGAGAAGAATATCAGTCGACTAGATATATCGGCAAGCGACGGTCACGAACCTCGGATCATGGACGGCACAATGATCAGCGGACGTCAGTACTACGAGATCCCGCCTGCGGGCCAAGCGATCACGACTTCCTACAAAGGCAACCGGCGGTTCGATCCCGACTACGGACTCAACTACGGGCACCACAGCTACGCTATCGAACAGAAAGACTACCGGGCGGCCCGGGCAGTCTCTGGCAGTGGCCTTGGGCCAGCGGGTGCAAGGCAATCGCTGTCAGCGCTGGACGACAAACGTGCCAACGAAATTCGACATGGCGTCTACGCACACGTTTTCCTGGATGTCAAAAATAGCAGCAAATCAGAAGCTCCGTAAGTCTCTCTTTTCTAGTGGTTGGCCCCATCTTTCAGTTTTCAACACTATCGACGACTGCATTTTCCCCATCGTTCTATGTACACCACTGGTTCCACGTACTGGCTCCTCTACTGCGTCGTTGATTCGCTGGCCTGTTTGTTCTACTGCTTCTTGTCGCGCGCCTTTTTTTCTGTTTAACCACTTTACTTTGCATCGTTCCGCTTGGCCTCGTATTCACTGCTGCAAATTTATTTTTTCCTCATTCACGCGATCCGTCACCTGCTGCGTCTGGGATTTCGTTCCTGCACGGCTCGACATGAGATGGCGATGGCGCTGGGCTGTGGTTGCTCGTTTTGGTTCATCCCATTTTCCCGTTTCTACATCACCCTGGCCATATTCTTTGGCTGTTTCTTCCTCTTCGGAACTGTTCTGCTTCTGCCCACATGAAGCACATCGATGACGCCTCGGCCCACGGCTCGCGAGTGGGAGTCGCGTCGTTCGACCGACGAAAGTGCTGAATGGGGGCAGCCCCACGCCTCATTTATTATCGATCCCGAGCCTTTCTTTCCAAGTGGATCCGGACCCAACGGAGGCTGCTTTAGGAAGCGTCGTCCAGACGTGGAAATCCGAGATCTTTTCTCTAGTGTCTATAGCTCTTGACACCGCGGGCACGCTTCTGGCAAGACCGGCAGATACGGATAGGCACTCGGCCTACGGCCTACTGCAGGAGATTCCAGCCCGACTGAACAAGCCACTTCCTACGATGCCGTCAAGTTCTTCCGGTTGGTTTGTCCTCAAGATTACGTCCCCACGAGATCCTCCTGCCCAGGCTGGGCGGGGCGGAGACAGAGTTACTTGTCACTTCTGAGATGGGAAATGCATCGACGCACGAAATGGGAGCTCGGATTACTCTGTACCCACGACTTTCCTCTTCCACGTTTTCCCCTGCCATGACCCCTGCATCTCGTCTCCAGCTTCAGTTGAGCGTTGCGGATCCCATGATCGAATGATGGTGCTTTCATCCTTGCGTCGTTATCAAGATTCACCTCCCCTCCCCTTGTTTCGCGGATTCTCAAACGCAGTTTTGGAGGCTTCAGTGTAACTCTTCAGGATGGACGGCTTGCGGCTTGCCATCTGCGGGAGCCATCGCAACGGGGCCCGGCAGAACGGAGTGCCTAGAGACCGCCAGGAGCTTGTCCTAATTTCCACCAGGAACAGTGGCGCGCGTCTCTGCCAGTTGCAAAGCAAGGCAGAATTGCGCTGCTACCCGCCAAGCGGCAACGCCACGAGACAAGTTTTGCTTCTCTGCCTCTTTCTGTCCCTCTTCGCGCCGCACGTAGTGTAAGCCCTAGCGCAAGTGCTAAAGTAGGGAGTTCTTGTCATCGCGCCCACGTTGCTGGGTTGCGCGACTCGGCTAGCTCGTCACTGCGTATCTGCACTGCGTTATCCGTAGTCGCCGCCCAACATCGCAGCCTTGGGGCGCTCCTAGTTCTAAGTCCTCGGTAGCTCGAGATACGGCTGATGAGTGTTTCCCCTTCGAGGCGGGCCAACAAGGGCCAAGGGTCAAGGGGGTCTTTGAGGAAGGACGACCCCCAAATCGCTCCCTCACCCCCCCTAGACAATGGGATGGGCGACCACTCATCAGACTCCATCTGGATAGGATCATCAGAGCGAGCGCCGGTCCGGGCACAGCCCACGCACCTCTCTGCCCGCGCAAGCCTCTGTCGAATCCAGGGTGCACTTGCAGATTGCCCAGCGGTAGCCTCCTTGGTGTGTGCCGGTGCCGTTCTTTGCGTGTCCTTTTTTGGCTCCAGGTTCTAATTTCCTTCTCTCTTTTTTTCCCTTCTCTTTCCTCCAAGTCTTTCGTATTAAACTTGACAGAAACCCCCCGTCACGTCACGTTGGCGCCTTTCGCTCTTTTGTTTCTGGGATTTGCTTGTTTTCCGACTACCTGTTCCATTCTTGGCTTGGAACTTTGCCCGCTGCCGAATTCCGTTTGCTGGATGATCCCTGAAGTACCTTCGTACTAACACGACCTGTCTCTTCTCCATAGCAACCCGAGACCTCTTCAACACAAGAGGCGAGCTTCTGCTGCACCTGCTGCTTCCAATTACATCCTCCATGATGGTAACCGTCTGAGAGTCCCTGGTCGTTTCGCTCCGCGTCCAGCTATCGCCGCCTCCGTTTCCGTCCCGTCGTCTCCGCTCTTGACCGCCAGTCACGGACCTGCTCCGGCGTACTTCGGCGCTCCAGAATTGTACCACCATAAGGGTGAACAGCAACAGTCTACAATGGCCACGATGGCTACAACAGAGCCCGCGCGCTCAAGTCCGCGCATCGCCCGGGTGCCATACGCCTTGCAGACGGCTCCTTTAGATTCGAAGCTCATTTGCGAATCACTACCTACCACGGCTCTCAACAGGCCAAGGAAGCTCTCTCAGGCATCAACCATCACCGTTACGAGTATCAACAGCCCGAGAGAAAGCTTTGAGACACGATCCAGAAGCTCTTCATACGGCAGCCACAGGACAAGCATCGATTCGAGCCCCACTATGTGGAGGCCCGACTACATGTACTCGAGGCCCAGTCAGACGACTGTCTTTAGAAAAAAGGCGAAGCCTGGGGAAATCTTTGCGAAGCTGCCCGGAGAGGTTTTGGAGCTGATCCTGGGCGAGCTCAAAAAGCTGCATCTCGAAAAGCCTACGGAAAGCTGCGCGACATGTTGGATGAGGGATGTCTGCTCGGTTACTCTCACGGCGAGGAAATGGTGCAAGTTTGCGCGAGTGGCATTGTGAGACTCACACCTTCGCCACGACCTCGCTATTTGGCTAACAGCGTTTCTCAGGTATGAAGATATTCAACTCGTAGGAGCCGATTTAGCATCTCAAAAGAAGCGGCATAAAGTCACGTTCGGCTCGCGCATGATGCTCCTTAGACGGACACTGAGAGCGAACTCGTATCTCGCCGGACTCGTTCACACTCTCAAGGTTCCAAGCCCCCCTACCGGGGTCTTGCTGGAGGACTATCACGATCAGGTTGCCGCGCTGATCATGGCATGTCCTAATTTTGAGCGCCTCATCGGCCTTCACCCCCATTATAACCACTCGTACAGCAAGCTCTTGCATGCGCTCTCGTCGCGCAAGCGCCTCAAGCACATGGATTGGATCGTCGAGCCCTCACCCTTTCAGCGACAACACCGATTCAAGTCGAGCTCGGGTAGTAATGTCGCCGCGATGACCCAGGCAACCTACGATGCTTCCGTCACACCCGGTGACCTGCAACCACACCAGAGTGCAGCATTTCTCGATTTCCACGTCGACTGGGCCCACCTCACGACTTTGTCGATTCACTGCCTCCCTGGCGCTACCCTTACTCCGGATAACCTCATCAGCTCAGCACTGATGCACCTAACGTCTCTGCAGCACCTTTACCTATCATGGATGCCGGTAACCGCCTTTAATGACAGCACCCTGCTCTCACTCCCTCCCTTGCGTACACTTTCACTCACCCACGTACCGGGTGTCACTAGCAGCGGCATTTCTGCTTTGGCTACCCTCCCAACGAGCCAGGCGATCCAGAAACTGACTCTACGCCACACGAACCTCGATTCCCTGCCCGCCTTGGCCCGCATCTTTTCCAACTTTACTCACCTCGAGTCTTTTACCCTCGTCCAGACCTTGGCGCCCATGCTCCCGGAGGACACATTCATTTGGCTCATGCCATACCTTGCCTCCTCGTCCCTCCGTAAGCTTCACTGGGACATCACGAGCAACACGACCCAAGCCAATGCCGCCGACTCCATCCTTGCCCGCAGCATCGCCGCCGACGGGTTCCCCTCCCTACGCAGTCTCCGCAGCCCCAACGATCCCGAAGGCATCTTTCAAGCCCTCTGCCGGCCGCAGGAGAGGACAGACAGCGCCAGCGATCGGTTCCGCGGTCCCAACGGACCCGCCCGGAGCTCCTCATTCCCCACCCCCAGCACGACCCACAGCCCCGTCTCGCCGACGAAGCCGTCCCGCTCGCCTACAGCCCCCGCGTCCCCCGTCATGAGCGACGCCCCTCGCGAATGCACCAACCTCCACGTAGCCCGGCTCGCGGCGCAGGCTCGTCTCGAAGCCGCGCGTGCAGCGCTGCCGAGGTTCTTCTTGAACGTCATCGACGAGGACGGCACGGTGCTGGAGAAGTATGGACTGGCGGCCTTCATCGGCACGGTAGAGAGCCGCATCACGTATAACCTGCGTCCTGACCCGGGCGCCAAGGACGAGCGCGGCGGGCTGGTCGAGATTGCGGATCTGACAGCTGACAACGGCGAGGAGATCGCCGTTGGGCGAGAAGGCTGCCAGGGACGGTGGAACGCGTCTTCGACCGTCTCAGACAAGAAGGATCGGGAGAGGTGGTGGCACACAGAGAGAGGCCGCTGGCAACAACCGGAGCTCGCGTGAAGTGCGAGTCAGCCTCACGATGAGCGTCACATTTTATTTCCTTGAACGTCTTTGATGACACGGCCAATTTCATGATATCCAAATTGTCGCAAGGGCCCGGGGGAATTGGGTCAAGATGCCTCCAAGATACCAAACGAAACAGCAGGGAAAGATACACATTTAACGTATGTAATGTTTATAACGGTATTCATAACTAAACGGTTACGATGGGCAAGTGGAAGAAAGAGGAGGATGTACATAGAAATGGAAACTTTCAAGTTTGTAGTGTAATACCACACACAATTCAATATCTACACACGGTCGAAATCCACATTGAACAAGGTCGTTTTACTGAGCTGTCAGTTTTTCCAAAGAAAATGGCTTCTGAGACAAGGCATGAGAAGGACCATGTGTTTTGGCCACTACGGAGCCAAACCCGCTCAGTCCAAAGAGACGCAAAGGCACGTATCGAGACGGTAGTTTCCATTCACTCGGGTACGAAACACACCTCAACGCAGAAGGCGAAGCGTTTTTGCACTGCCCCATTAGAAAAACCACCGTGTCGCTGTTGCCTGAGCACTCTTGTCTCGATTTACCCTGCCTTACGTGAGGCGAGGTGAGGTCCAGTCGTGGTTGCTGACTGCTCAAAGCTAAGTTTCCTTGGGTTTCGTTGCCTTCCATACGAAAGTCAGCACGCTGGAGTTGAGGACCCAAGCGCCGATTAAAACGTCCAAGGGGAGCCTGCCCGGTTGCAGCAGCCACCAACCCCGCCCCCACCACCAGTTCACACTCTCTGCCCCGTTAAGTACCACCTTAGGTAAGGTGTGACTGCCTGCCTATCGGCGTGTCTCCCCCTACAATCGGTAAGCTGCCTGCCCGCCCATCCGCCGCCCATCCACCCCACCTGACCTCTGTCCAACTTCATGCTATTCCGTCAGCCTGCTTGACCTTAGACGACAATTTAATGCCTGTACATCATTTGGATAACACTCTACACGAACCAGCCATTCATCTCAGTACTGAGCGGATCAATATCTGCGCGAACACTTGCCTTTTTTTGAACGTATCAACTATCTTCTCGGGCGACGCTTGATCTTTGCTCTGCGACTTCGACGGTTGAACACACACCCCCTGCTTCTCGGTGACCGCTTCCCGGGGGCTTGTGGTTCTACGCTCAACATCTCGCCTCACTTTCCCGGTGTTTAGCGAGCTTCACTCTGGTCAAAATACCAATATCCGGATCTTAAGTGAACTGAGGTCAATATATCAGGACCTGGAGGCCGAGAAAGAGATTGGGAAAAGGCCGACGGCAGTTTACAAGCCTACCGTGAACGGCGCGGCGAACTTGCGCAGGTACCTAGGCAGAATCCGACCAAACCGACACAGCAACCGATAATACGATAAACCTCAGTAGACGAGGACCACCAAGACTTGTGAGAAAGACAAGGGAGCCGGAGATTTCAAAATGTCAAAGGACAAGACCCTCCGCATCTTTTGCTTCGGCGACTCGCTGACGGCCGGATACTCGTCCTACGGGGCCGTCTACCACCCCTACTCCATCGCCCTCACAAAGCTGCTCGCAGTGTACCTGTCCGACACGCAAATCGTGGCGACGGACAACGGCATGCCCGGGGATGTCGTTTCGCAGGGAGCCTTTGCGCAGCGTTTTGACAGCGAGAGTTCGTACTTTTGCCTTTCCATCATCATTCAGTGTTATTACGTCGCTGCAATGTTCTATCACGACTTCCTCACCCCTACTCTCATTTCATCTTATCTGCCCGGCTTCCGGGAGATGAAATACTTGCTAATTTCATGTTCTAGTGAGCCAAGCACAATACGACTGGGCAATCATACTGGGAGGCACAAAGTACGTTCAACATATACGTAGATTTCCCTGAAAGCCGCCTCATACTAACGAGATGCACCAGCGACCTTGCATTTAACGTGCCGCCAGATAGGATATTTGACTCACTCCGGGGAGTATACGACTCCGCCATTGCCAAGGGTAGCAAGGTTCTTGCCTTGACAGTCCCCGAATGTGCAACCAAGAGTGAGAAGCTGGATGCCCGCCGGCGACAGCTCAACAACGCTATCCTCACCCATCAATCACCAAATTAGTATGTCTTGCCCTTAACACGTATTCTCTCTCGTTGCGTTTTTCCCATTGTGTCTTTCCGTGTACAGGAGAGAATTACACAGCAAACGTACTAATCGCCAAACACCCAGCCACGCCTTCGATCTTAATCCGAGGATCCCATTCCACGCCCTCACCGATCGGGAGTGCAAAAGATACTGGGACGACGGCCTGCACCTGACACCAGCGGGCTACGACTGGATGGGCACGCACATTGCCGAAGCCCTCCGCGACGTTGTAGAGCTCGAGCGCAATCCTCAGTCCAAGAGAGCGCGTAGGGCGCGGCGCAACGCCGAGGAGCAAATCTCCTTTGACGAGGAGGACGGCGATCCACACTCGCTCAGCGAGGGTTATGTGGTCGTGCGGATGAGAGACTTGAACTAGATACCTTTTTTCTTACTTTCAATGCGAATATTGCTTCTAGATCCATGGTTCATTCGCCGTCCTCTCTTGTTCAGTCTAGCTCCTGTCTACTACGTAAGTCGGGCTACGTGACTGCTCCATGCTGACGTGCTTCTTCTCTTCATTTATGATATGCAGTGCGGTCTCTGTTGATCGCATGAATCCCTAAAACGCCAGTGTTTAACCCCCTTTTTTACAACGCCGGTAATGTGTTTGAGTGTGTGTAAAGTTCAGTTTCATAGTAATCCATCTCAAATGACCAAGTTGGCTTCCACGAATTCCTATGGAACTGTTAGTGAATGGTTCATCGAAGATTTGCAAAACCGCAAGGGAGGAAAAAACTCACGGGAAACTGTTTTTGCAGAGCATTGGTCACGTTCTCAACCTCCTCGGCTACGCTCTGCACATTCGCATCCCACCTCCGCATCTCCTTGCCAACGACGACCTCGGCGCGCCCGCTGCCCTTCTTCCCAGACGCCTCGCCGCCCTCGAACCAAATCACCTCGTCGAGCTGGTCGATCCGGCCGAGCAATCGGCCCTGCTCAATCATGCGCGCCGTCGTCTCCTCGGCCTTTTCGGCGTCCAGACCGAGCAGGGAGCCGAGCGCCTCGAAGCCAATGTTGCGGTACAGCCTCGACGCGCCGAGCAGGTTGTGCTCGACGACGGCCTTTGCCAGTACGGTGGATCCGTCGGCCGTGGTGGCGAGCTGGTGCGGCTGTAGGCCTTGAGCGAACTTGTCCACCTCCTCCGGGGCGAGAAGGCGGTCGAAGAACATTTTTTCCAGCATGCCGTGCTCGTCAAGTCCCGCAGAGCGCTCGTCCTTGTACAGCCGGCCGAGGGCGCGGCTCCGCATGGGACCGGCGGGGGCGAGGATGGCGCACTTGACGGCCATGCCGAGGGTGTGCAGGCGCTCCTCCTCTGCGATGGCGGGGCTGACGCTGATCTCGTGGTAGCGGCCGCTGGCGCCGAGGAAGTCGCGCTGCGAGTCGAGGATGCGTGCCATGGAGAGCTTGAAGTGGAGGTCGAGGTCGCGGTCCTGGACGGTGTGCATGATGTTCTTGAGCTTGTTGACGTACGTCTCGGCGGCGGTGGTGTCGTCGACCTCGAGGTAGTTACGGGCGATGCGGACCCAGACGCGGGCCTTGTCGTCGTTTGTGACTTTGCGCTGGGAGCCGTCGAGGGGGATCTCGGCGAGGACGTTGGCGGCGTCGAGGAAGTCTTCGGCGCTCTCGTGGGCCTCGGCGACGAGCTCGCGGACGGCGGCGGCCTGGTCTAGGAAGGAGGAGGGTTGGGTGGCGAGCTGGGCGAGGGTGTGGTTGCCGACGGCGATCCAGAGGTCGTCGTTTTGGAGGCCGCGGAGGGCGGCGACGAAGGAGGCGAGCAGGGTGCGGGTGGAGACGATGCCGAGGGAGGCGGCGAAGATTGCGTCAAGGACGGCGTTGAGGTCGGACGCGGCTGTCGGAGGGGACGAGAGGGTCTTGATGTCGGCGATGATGGACTCGTAGGCCGGGGCCTTGTCCCCGGGTACCGAATCGGCTTGGGCGAGCCGCTCGGCGACCTTTTGCGAGGGCGCCATGGTTTCGATGTGTGCTGATGTGTGTATGTCGAGCTGTGCGTGATCTGTTGGTGTGAGATATGATCTTGGGAGTGATGCGGCGGGAGGCGGGTGGGTATCTGAGCTTGTGCTTCTCAACGTTGGTTGTTGATCGTGAAGCCGTGGAGCTGTAGGAGCTGAGGTGAGCTCTTGGATGGTTGTCATTGATAGAGTTAGGCAGGCATGGTGGGGTAAGAGCTTTGAGGGGCCGTTGGAGGGGTGCCCCGGTGCAGGGGCCCACGGGCCAAGGTTCTGGAGCACTCGATTCGATATGCTTCAAAGGGCACCATAACTTCTCCATGCCATTCATACCTATCATGCGATGTGGAGTATAGATGAGATGGGAGTCAAATAATGAAGACGATTGGTCTGAAACAGCACAAATTGAGGCTATCATCACACTCATGACTGCCCGCGAAGTACGATTTGGAGACTTTCGCTATCTGCCTATTGTGCTGTAGATGAGGCATTCTCCAAGTTCTTTTCCTGTGCCTTGGCCTTACAAAGAATCCTACTTGCAATGGTTCATTGCTGGTTCATCTATATAGGGAATTAGTTAGAGACGGTCTAATGGGCAACATGAGTCAAAAGGCAGTTGAGTATTCCTCTTTGACCTTTTACGATGAAGGGAACTTGACTGGCCAGCACATTTCACACATTACGAACACAAGAAAGTCGTTCATTGAACGCAAAGCACGTATATCCTTTGCCCATATTTCAACGCAGTGAACAGTCTTTTCACACCGAGCCTGCTGCAATTGTTCAATACAGCGGCGTTCTCTCCGGAAACCTCTGTAATGTACGACACCACAAACTCTACCAATGAAAATTGCCCCAATAAGCAGATAAATTACAGCCTCTGAATTCGGTGAACCATCGGAAACTAGGAGATTTGGTTTCATGAAGTTAACATGCTATTTTAGATACCTTGACTTTGGAGGCGGAACATTTTTTTGCGGGTCGGAGTTTTTGGGTAGTCGGGAATTTTTGCCAAACGTGACTTAATACCTTTTCCGTCGATTTTGTCCAGTCAAATTCGCGAACAGGGATGGGTGGGGGGTTGAGCAGAGTTATGCAATCATCAAAATTTATGAACACCCGGGTATTGTACAATATCGGCCCATCATCGGCTGATGATGACGAGCGAGCCCTTCTCATCACAGATGTACGCTTTTTTCTCTCTCTCTCCTCTTCGTTATTTTCTCTTCCTTCCTATTTTATATAGAAGTGCCCACCATTTTATTGAATTGGTCTGAGAAAAACCATTGCTTCTCCAGCTAGTGCTGCAGAACAATCGGCTTCCCGGCTTCCCAATTATTCAGGCTTTCCTGGATATTAACCCAGTACCGGAGATTCACCGCCTCCCTCTTGGCCGTCTCGATATCGTCGTGCCGGAACGCCGTCTCGAGCACCTCCTCGCTCGCGCGTATCCTCCCATCATTAGCCTCCCTCTGGCCCTCGAGCTCGCTCTCGACCGTCGCCTCCTCAATCTCCTCACGTGCCTCGAGCACCACCATCAGCAGCTCCGGATCCTCGACCTTGAGCGTCTCGTCGTTGGCCACGTCGACGCCGCGGAGCGAGAGGAGGTACTGCGCGCGCAGGAGCGGGTTCGACAGCGTCTTGTACGCCTCGTTGATGCGCGCCGACGTCGCCTCCGCGCGCGTCTTCAGCTCCGCCGGGTGCATGTCCGGGTGGGCCTTGGCCTGCAGCCGGAGAAACTCGCGGCGGAGGGCGCGCTGGTCGATGGGAAAGTGGCCATTGGGCGGCGGGCCGTCGGGGAGGGTGATGGGGAAGAAATCGTAGTGCGTCTTGGGGATGGTGCTGTCGGGCGTGCTTGAGGCGGCGGCGGTTGGTTCGCTGTCTGGTGTCGCCGTCGCCGGCCGTGTCAGCGGGACGCTCCCGGACATCCACCGCTTCTGGCTGGGGATCGTGGATGAAACTTCAGAAGCCCATCGTGCATGTGTTGTGAATAACGAACTGCTGGCCATGGCCATGGCTACTGCGCCGGATGGCCGGGCCACTATCGCTTGTCGCCGGCATTTCGCGCATAGGCGAGATACGTCTCGTACGCCGGTCTGGATTGATGTGCGCATATTGATTGTGAACGTATCGCAATTGAGCTTTGATTTTGGTGTCTACAACTCGAGATCGTAGCTCAAGTAGCTGGTTCTATGCGATCGTGAGAGTCGTCACTGAAGTGTTGCTCGACGAAATTTACGTATTGCTTTCTGGGGGGCGGATTTGGATGACGTCCCCGTAAAATCATTGCCGCGCCAAAGCGAAGCGAAGCGTCTAGCGCCGAGAGCCGCCCCGACATCTAAGTCCGAAGTCGGGGAATATTCGGGGTTTCTTTTGCGCGCTCGCGGTATTCTCTCCACTGGGGTGAGCCCCGCTTGCAAAGTCCAGTGCTCTCCCGGTCCACTGCTCCAGCAACTCCAAAGCCTCTCCACAGAACGCTTGACCAAAAAGTGCCCTGTGATTCGACGACTGGGTGGCTCCTCTACTGCCCCCAACCCCAGATCAAGCCCCCCACGGGCCTGGTCTCCGACGCCAGACGTACGGGGTAATTCCCGCCGAATGGTTGGCGACTTATTACGATGATGTTCCCGCTCTGTCAGTTGCTGAGATTCTTCTTCATGTTTCCCTTAGGCTGTACTACTAGTAGAGCTCCGAATTGCTAACAAAATGTCCAAGATATTCACTGCTGAAGAAGGTCCGTCTGCCGTGCTTTCCTTGCTGCGATGCTTTCGAGTCAATGCTGATACAATTCTCACAGTGGCCAAGCACAACACATCCGACAGTTGTTGGGTGGTGCTCTACGGCAAAGTGTACGATGTGACCGAGTTCCTCCCTTCACACCCCGGCGGCTCCAAGATCATCGTCAAGCTTTCCGGCAAAGATGCGACAGAAGAGTACGACCCGATACACCCGCCGGGTATCCTCGAGGAGAACCTCAAGCCCGAAAACTGTCTAGGCACCGTAGACCCCGAGTCGCTAGCGCTGCTACAACCTCAAGCCGCGAAGGCGGAATCCGAAAAACCCAAGGAGGGCCCGCCCAGGCTCGAGACGCTGCTCAACCTCGACGAGATTGAGGAGGCTGCCACAAAGATTATCCCCAAGAAGGCGTGGGCATACTACTTCTCAGCCTCTGACGACCTTTGGACCAAGAGCAACAACGGTCATGTGTACAGGCAGATCCTGCTGCGGCCTCGCGTCTTTGTCGACTGTACGAAAGTTGACACCTCCACAACTCTGCTCGGCAACCACGTAGGACTTCCGTTGTTCGTGGCGCCGGCTGCCATGGCAAGACTTGCCCACCCCGACGGTGAGCGAGGCATTGCGAGGGCAGCGGCCAAGTTCAATGCGATGCAATGCGTTTCGAATAACG